AGTCAAAGGCTTGGAATGTGCCTGCTGTTTTTCAGCAATGTTTTGGCGAATCGGAAATTTTGGAATTCATTTTCTAGATTTGGTTTGATTTCTTGTCAGCTTGGTTTTGATGGGAAGTTAGTTTTGTCTACTGGCAGTTTGATTCATTGCCTGAGGCTCGGGTGTGCCTTGCATGGATGGCCTCTGTCGTTGAGGAGCTCCACCTGAGTGACCGCTATGCTGGACACGCTGGCCTTGCTGATCTTCGAGAGTGTGTGTGCCTTGTTTGCATGGTTGCTGCTGCCCTGTTATACCCTTTTCGGGATGGGATGATGACTGTGGGGATGATGGTGATGTGATTAATACTTGCTTTTGTGTGTGGGCAATGTGTAGGCAGGTCTATGCTCCTGCAAGAGTGTCCCGCAAGACTGTTCCATGAGTGTCGCACAAGAGTGTCTTACAAGATCCCACAAGAGTGTCTTACAAGAGTGTCCACAAGAGTGTCCTACAAGAGTGTCCCACAAGAGTGTCTTACAAGAGTGTCCCACAAGAGTGTCCTACAAGAGTGTCCCACAAGAGTGTCTTACAAGAGTGTCCCACAAGAGTGTCCTACAAGAGTGTCCCACAAGAGTGTCTACAAGAGTGTCTACAAGAGTGTCCTACAAGAGTGTCCCACAAGAGTCCCCCACAAGAGTGTCTCTCAAGAGTGTCCTACAAGAGTGTTCACACCTCTGATGTGGCCATGATATCCACAATCACTTTGCTGATTCCTGGACTGTCGAGATTCTTTTCTTCATATAATAGTCTCTCTCTGGTCTTGTTCTTCAGAGTGAGATGAAGAAGATCCCACCTGTTTCCTGTTCATCTTGTCCATGAACTGGACCTTCAGCACTTGAGCCTTGGCTGTCTCAAAAGTCAATGGCTCATAGACACTTTAAAGTGCCTGCGCAGGACAAAATATCTTGAATGGTCTTCTCCTTGTTGACTTCATGTGTTGGCTTGGGTAGAGTGCCTTACGCAAGTCCCAGAAGGCCCGTCCATGTAGGTCGACATATACTTTGACCTTTCAGCCACTGGCTGCCTTGAAGTGTTCAACGCCCATCGCACACACGCGATCAATGCATCTTGAACAGTAGTGGCTGCCATCAACCGGTGGAGCCCTTGTGATGCATGGTCTGATATGCAGGACCGATCAAAGCCTGCATCGATGTACAGCATGTCTGCGATTCATGCGATATCCCGTGTTTTGCCAGATCCACGAGGGTGGTCTCATAGCAAGGGACTTGCTGTTCTTCGCATAATTGAGCGCAGTCGCAGATGACGTCATCGTACTCGTGCTTGAGCGTTGTCATGGGCCTTGAAGGGCGTCATTCAATTTGGATCCATCTTCTGCTGGAAGGATGGCCGCACAGGCTTATACTCATCTGAGAAGATCCGATCTGGCAAGCTTGTTGCCTCTCAAAAATGCCTCCTCATTGAGGCCTCTAATGAAGCTTAAGTCCAACACCGGTCCCCCGACCCCAGCCATCCACGTCCGCAGGCCTAACACCTGTGCCTCATCTCATCCCTTAAAAAGCTTTGCTCGAGGTGCTCCATGGCAGCATTCCATCAGACCTTGGAAGATGAGGGCCGCTACTTGTCACTGGAAACGGTGAGGCTCTTGCAGAGCCAGCTGGTGGCTGGGTTTGTCATGCTGTGCAACATTTTATTTCAGTGGGCTGGGGAGATATGGGTGGGTCAAAATTAATCCCACCTTAAGTGTATGCATATGCCAAATCCGAACTGTGGACATGGCTTCGAGGACAGGTGCACCACGGCATATGTGAAGTTGGCTGTGGCAGCAGTGCAGCAGCAGCTGTTGCTCTGGCCAGCAAGGCCAAAATGGCATGCCACTAGTACATGCTTAGCTATCACTCCCTATCGCTCCAAATACCTCTTCATCGACTCCATCGACCCTCCAAACCTACCCGAAACATTCTCGGAAGGTATTTGGGCCGCTAGGGCGTTTATTTTGGTCCTGAGCTAATGATCCCCTCAATTCCACATGGGGCGCCATACATGCATGTGTTCTAGAACTGGTGTGCCCTGCATGTTCGGGCTGAGGGGCTTCATGAGATGCAAAGACAACAGGCTGTGGACCGTTCCATTGGCTGAGATGCAAGGTGTCTTTTTTTGTTTTTCTTGAGGGACCCTGATCACTCGCTGAGAGGGTGTTTGGGTTGAGAGACCCTCGTGAGATGATCCTGCGGCCGAGACACCCCGGTAGTTATGGTGTTCTAGTGGCTGAGCAAGCCATCACACCAAGGATTGAACTGCAGGAAGTTCCACAGTTTCCACACAGAGGACTTCATTGGCAGGATCAAGAAATGTTGCGCTGTTTCATCTCAAATTAGCATGGAACGCATTGCGTTGGAACGTTGGTACACGGGGCTGCTTGTCAAATTATTGTGCACTCTTTGGCCTTGTTCCCCAACCAGTAAGGTCAGACTATTTTTCGAACCTTTCAGCTGCCCTCCTCCTTTGGCCACCCAGGCTCACCAACAAACGCGAAGCAGATGTGTTCTGAGGTTCCACACGCTGGAAAAAGCTTGTGGATCAGTGCGGGCCGGTGGGAGAGCTGGTCAGGATGGGTATGGATATGGGCGGTGATGGTTCATATTGGTTCATGAAAGGCTCAAACCATGCAATCTAGCAACAAAGATGAGGCTAGTGGGCATGTGATGGCATGTGGTCATATTTGTGTACATCTAAACTTTCTCTCAGAATGGTCTCGGCTGCAGGATCATCTCACAATGGTCTCCCAACCCAAACACCCTCTCAGCGAGTGATCGGGATCCCATGGGATTATTCAGATCTCTACATTTTGTTAAGGCTGTCCAAACGACTCATTCAGGATAATTGTTTATATACACGAAAACTGCTATAATCAAATATTATAATATTGCCAACAATACCACTACCTCAAGCAGAATGACAAGTGCATGTGTGTTTAAGCATGTTTCAAGCTAATAATTTCATTACTTAAAAGGAACATGTTTTGTATTTGCAATTCAATTGAAACCACATGCTTTTGGTTTGGTATATTCCCTTCATATTCATTGTCCTTTTGCTTTCCAGTTTGTTAATCTTACTTGATACATGTTTTACATGTTTTATCCAATCATGCTATGTTGTATTTTCATGACGTCATATCATATCAGTCATATCAGTATATCTAACGTATTTCTATGCAAAACAAGGGAGTTGGGCTGCAGAACTGCACAGTTTGCAAGTTGGATTGAGGCGCGTTCACTTCCTCTGTGAAATCCACAATATATATATATATATACTTGTATGGCAGGTGCTGACAGAAGCACTAGTACTTTAAGTTCAATACGTCTTGGAACACTCCCTCAGGGGGCCCCCCAATCAGCGCCCGCACATATGATAAATGATATACTGTAAATATGTTGTGTATTATATAATGCAAATTGAGTCGTTGGAGGCTGCTTTTAGGTGGTGTCTCATGTTCGACCAACTGTCGGGTCCAGATCACTCTTGCCCTCTGTAGACTGGCAAACGGAGAGAGAATGCGGGTCTAAAGGATCCGGTTTGCATGCAGGGATGTCCAGATCTTTTGTAAAATTACAGTGGTTTCAGAGTAGATGGCACAATCCCGAAAAGGTGGTTTATATGGACCCCCATATAAAGGTAATGAAACCACTGGGTTGAAAGGTGCATGAACTCCAATCCTAAGTAGTTGCTCAGCATGAGTTCCGGGGCGGCGGTGAATGGAGAAAAGAATTCGGGATGCCTACCTGAACCCTCCGTTCACACCTCAGAACACGTACAGTCGAACGTAATTATATATTTGGAGTCTCTTAAAGTTACTTTAAGATCAGTTTCCTATGGCTGGTAGAGATTCAGTCCACCACAAATTAGACAGTCAGACAGGCAAACAGTTGAAAGTTGTACACATAATACTGAATGCCAGTAGCGTGAACGTCATACCGTGATCGGAGGGGTTGCATGCATTGCAGTCGGCAACCAGGCCAAATCAAAAGGTGAAAGTTCTGTATTGATTGCAATCGCTCGTTGAATTTGTTTCCTTACATGAGCTTTGAACTTCAGCGTTGACATACTGCTTAAAATCTGAAACACGCGTTTCCCTTTTCATGTTGTATCAACACTTTGATGGACCTTGAGCAAACAAATATTTGTTTAAACATTTCCAGGGTCGAGCCAACTGCTGATCCTTTCCTGTCCTAGCCGCGATGTCCCCCTTCCAAAGACCTTTAGCGGCCAGCCACACATCCACTGCATTCCCATTGACTTTGCAGTGCCCCAACCGGATTCCGAACGCTCCAAACACGGATCTTCCGCGTTGCATCGAGCTGAAGGATTCCTTCTGGATGAAAATCAGCCTCTGTGGCTGCTTGAGCCATCCCTTCACTGGCGAAACGCCGATTGTCAGCTCGATCGTGCATCGACTTGATTCAATGCTTCGATTTTGGCCACCTCCTCTAAAAGTCTAGAGTGCTTTAGAGATGGTTTTTGAGTGATTTTGGAGAAGAAGTTGCGTTTAGAGAAGATTAGAGTGGTTTAGATAAGTTTTGAGTGATTTAGAGACGTTTAGAGTAAGTTTAGAGTGCTTTATTTAGAGTAGTTTTAGATAGGTTTAGATAAGCTTAGATAAGCTTAGAGTACATTAGATAGCAAATCTAAAAAATTAGATGAACAGGGTCTGTGGCAACAGGGTCTGCAATGACCTTCCTGAAAGTACCCAAGAAAGTGGGGCATGACCCCATAAAAGCAGGTACTCGTACGCCTATTCCCGGGGTACGAACTGAGACTCCAGGTCTAAAGGACCGCTTTTCTGCTTCGTCGTCTCCCCAGTTGTACCGTTCTTGTGGATGAGTTCGGGTCGTCCGACGCACAGGTTTCGTTGGGTTCACAGCGCAATGGCGGTGAGAACCCGCAGACCATCCCAGACCCGGCAACGGCCACACCTCTTTTTGCGACGCCTCTGGGCGACACCGCAGGTGGTGGCCACCAACGGCGACACTCACCTCGGCGGCGAAGACTTCGACCAACGTGCCCTGCAACGGGGGGTCGGGGCAGGTTGGTTGGTTGCGCACCCCCCGTGTTTGGAAGAAAAGCACAACGAAAAGGAACCGTCAGATGTTTGCCTATTGTGGCCTCGACAATTGGAAGTGGCACAGAAGACAAAACAGCAAAAATTACTTTACTTCGAGTGATCCCCACCATGACGTTTCAATCATTTGACTTGATGCCATAGTGAGGAGCACGTTGCCATGGTCGTGAGTATTGTAGTTCTCGATTTTGCTTGTGGGTCCTCGGGTTGTGTGCTGCGGTTGTGTGTTGTGGTTGTGGTTGTGTGCTGTGTTGTGGTTGTGGTTGTGGTTGTGATTGTGTGTTTGTGGCTGTGTGTTTGTGATTGTGTGTTTGTGGATGTGTCTGCGGTTGTGCTTGTGGCTGTACGTTTGTGGTTGTGTCTTTGTGGTCGTGTTGTTGTGGTTGCGTGTTTGTGGTTGTGTGTTTGTGGTTGTGTGTTTGTGGTTGCGTGTTTGTGGTTGTGGTGTGTTTGTGTGTTGTGGTTGTGTGTTTGTGGTTGTGTTTGTGGTTGTGTGTTTGTGATTGTGTGTTTGTGGTTGTGTGTTTGTGGTTGTGTGTTTGTGGTTGTGTGTTTGTGGTTGTATTTGTGATTGTGTGTTTCTGGTTGTGTTTTTGGTTGTGTGTTTGTGGTTGTGTGTGTGGTTGTGTCTTTGTGGTTGTGTTGTTGTGGTTGTGTGTTTGTGGTTGTGTTTGTGGTTGTGTGTCTATTGTTGTGTGATTGTGTGTGTGCGTTTGTTGTTATGTTTGTGGTTGTGTTTGTGATTGTGTGTTTGTGGTTGTGTCTTTGTGGTTTTGTTGTTGTGGTTGTGTGTCTGTGGTTGAGTGTTTGTGGTTGTGTGTTTGTGGTAGTGTGTCGATTGTTGTGTCTTTGTGGGTGTGTGTTTGTTGTTGTGCTTGTGGTTGTGGTTGTTGTTGTGTTTGTGGTTGTGTTTGTGGCTGTGTGCTTGTGGTTATGTGTTTGTATTTGTGTGTTTGTGGTTGTGTGTTTGTGGTTGTGTTTGTGGTTGTGTGTTTGAAGCATACTATCTGCCATTCAATCTGCCATTCTATCTGGCAATCTATCTGACATACTATCTGGCATACTGTCTGGCATACTATCTGGCATTTTGTTTGGCATACTATCTGTCGTTCTATCTGGCATATCTTCTGGCATTCTATCTGGCATTTTATCTGGCATTCTATCTGGCATATTTTCTGGCATTCTATCTGGCAATGTATCTAGCAATCTATCTGACACACTATTTGGCATACTATCTGGCATATCTTCTTGCAGCATTCTATCTGGCAATCTACCTGGCATTCTATCTGGCATTTTATCTGGCAAACTATCTGGTTGAGGTCCAGCGGTGCAGACTGCGATCGGATTCTTGCGGTTGAGGTCCAGGGGTGCGATCGGATCCTTGCGGTTGAGGTCCAGGGATGCACACTGCGATCGGATCCTTGCGGTTGAGGTCCAGGCGTGCACACTGCGATCGGATCCTTGCGGTTGAGGTCCAGGCATGCACACTGCGATCGGATCCTTGCGGTTGAGGTCCAAGGCCGAGGATGTACACTTTGTGTTTGAGACCATTGGAAAGAAGGTCCGCCTGAAAAGGACTGGGTTCATTGCATCTGATGGCCAGGGAGGACAGTTGAAGTATTTGGGTAGAGTAATCACCCGGAGAAAGGGGGAGAAGAGCGTTCTTGTTTCCTTGCCTGAGGGTTATCTTGATGACACGTTCAGAGATTACAAGTTGCAGTCATCTTCAAAGACTAGATCACCTCCAGATATCACACCAGTGATTGATAAAGAAGGTGGCCAAGAGCTGTCTCAAGAGGCGTACCAGAAGTTTCGTCGAGCCCTTGGTAAGTTGGCATGGATGTCGCAGACTAGGCAAGATCTGAGGAGCTTCATTGCCATCTTGGCAAGTCAGCAGGCTAAGCCCACTGAACATACTGAACATGCTTTGCGTATGATCTTGAGGTTCATGCAGTCGGACATGAGCGTGGTTGTTCGTCTTCCAGCTGAAGGAGAAGTGTTGCAGTCGAAGGTGTTTGATGGACCTCACTTGGTTGCCTTCAGTGACGCCAGCCATGCACCATTGAAGAGCACAGGACGTTGTGGAATCAGCGGGGGAGTGATTTCATATGGTGGAGCTTTGATTAAGACATTGAGTAGACATCAGACTGTTTCGCTTTCATCGATGGAAGCCGAACTGTTCGCCCTTCAAGCCGTTGCCCAAGAGTTGTCATCCATGGGAAAGATTGTTGCTAGGATCTTAGGAAGTTTCAAAGAAATTGACGCAGGACAAACAATTCCAGGTGTGTTGTATTCAGATAGCGAAAGTGCTCTCAAGCTACTTCGCAATTTGGATTTGCCCAGGAAATCTGTCATCTCGAGATCAGAATCTCATGGATCAAAGAAAGGGTTGAACGAAAGCATCTTGTGTTGGAATTCAAGAAAGGAGTGAGCAATCCATCAGACCTTCTGACGAAGTGTTTGGGGAGTGCTGCTTTCGGTTTGCATCGTTCGAGTATTGGATTCGAGATCATGGACTTTCCACTTGCAGGTCTTATGGATCTTGCACGAGGATATGTGTTTGTTGAAGTGTGTTGCAAACAGGATTCAGCTGTCTCTCGGGCATGTAAGAAGCATGGTTTGATGTATGTTGGGATCACCAGTGATATGGAGAAACCCCAGGGATGCACACTGCGATCCGGAGCTGGCCAGACAAGATCGGCGAAGCAGATTGGCGAGGAAGGAAGCAAGGAGGAAGGAGGAAGGAGGAGGACGAGGAGGCGGCGGAGGCGGAGGCGGAGGCGGAGGCGGAGGAAGAACAGCTGTGATAACATCTAACAACCCTCACCTGGCAGGTGGGGAACAATACAAGTTGCATCTTCAATATCACAAGTCTGTGACCTTTTACAGCTCTAAGTGACCTCAAACCTGGGATGAAAAGGTAACTTTGAAGAACCAGGAATCTGGAAGAATTGTGAAAGCCTGCTGTTTGTGTCCTGGACCAAACTGGGATCGTTCAACAATGTACAGCACCGCACGGAGGCACTGACAAAAACTATGTTTTGGTGTCAACAAGCAGGGCAGACGTCTTTTGGGCATGGCATTTGCAAGATGAGAAATAAGCCCTGCACTTGGATTGTGAACCTCTTAGATATGGGTTGTTGTTAAGCCTACATTAAGGTGTGATGCAGCACTTCATGAAGATCTTCCAGAAGAAGCACGGCAAGGCAGACCGGAGCCAGCATGTTCGGAGAAGCACCCATGACGAACATAGCACCCCTCCCAACTCCATGGCACCGACCTTTTTCAGATCTTCCCACAGGTGATTTGCAGGACATTCGACGCTGATGATTTTTTTTGTGGGATGATGCATTCCAGTCCTTCCACTAGTATCAGTATTCGTATCATGTATATGTTGGTCGAATCTGGTATTGCCACAGGGAGTCCATGGTTATATGTTTGGTCACCGACAATGATGGAACATAATGTTAAATTGTTTTGTTAAACTTATGTTTTTAATGTTACTAAGCCGATGGAGAAATCGAAGCGGCAGGACGATCCGTTGGACCTTGTACGATCCACGGCCACGACGCAATTCGGCAGGACATGAGCAAGGACAAACGTTCCATCCAGAAGCTCCGCCGAGAGGTGGAGAAGACCAAGCGTGCTTTGAGCTCCACCCACCAGGCCGCGCGCGAAAGCACAAGCGGACGGTAGGTCTGGTCGGTGCTTCGGTGGGCCATTGTTGGCCCATAGTTTGGCCCATCTATGCTGAGTCGACCCGCTCATACTTCGGAAAATGGGTACATTGTACAAGTAGCCCGTTTTTGTAGGGTCATGTCCCATTTTTCTAGGGTACTTTGGAAGGTCTAGGTATGCTGGCTTCGCTTGGAAAACTAGTCTTACGGCTATTTCGGGGGATCCAGTTATCGATGGTCGATTCGCCGGTTACGGCGGCTTCACAGCGGTCCTCCCGCCACAGCGTGTCGCGGAGGAGTAGCATGGGGTAGCTGTTGCCATCCTTGGCGGATTGGTCCTGCAGCCACACTCAAAACCGGATTCTCGGTCGGACCAGGTGGACTAGACCAGGTGCCTGCAGCTCGTTGACCTAGTTGTTTGTGTTGTGTTCCAAACCCTGACGTCTTCGGGTCTCCCTCCAGCCCTCTGGGTCGCATCCGGGAGGCTCGACTGGAGATCGAAGCCTTGTACGACGGCACAGACTTCTCCGAGACCTTGACCCGCGCACGCTTCGAGGAGCCACCCCCGGTTGCCTTCGCATACGCGGAACGAGGACCAGGCGGCATGCAGTGACTCCGATTTGGAAACCACCGTTGAGATGCTCAAAGACCTGCCGTACTCAGGACGTTTGGGCTGGGTATACGTATAAGTGAGATTTTTACTGATCTCTGAAGGCGTTTTTTGACAGAGTGCATGTCAAATGTGAACCCAATGGCCACTTGCATGGAGTGGTTGAGTCCCTCCAAGTGGAAACACGACAGATTTTCAGACTTCCCCCATGAACCATTTCTCCTGGTGCCCCTCCAAACCGTAAACCTCACCGACTTCTCATGGATAAAAGCCGCAAAGAAACTTGGACCATTCTGGCGGCAAAATTCCATCAAACGCGGACGGGGGGGTGGCGAATTGAGGAGCTGAATGCGGACCTCTTCAAGAACACCTTGGGTCCGGTGAAGCAGGCGTGGTATGGCGTGAGTTATTTGGGTTAAGGGGCGGACTTCGTCCGCCGAAGTGGCGCGGAGGTTTGGTCAAAATGATTCAATACTCCCTAGGGCTCCTGGCCCACCTCCTGAGGTTCGATGGTTGGGGTGGGTGCCAGGGGGGTCTAACCACCTCCTGAGGAGATGGGACAGGAGCCCTAGGGACTTAGAAGATAGATGAAGATACCAAAGCTCTACTATCAAAAGGGTATCAGATGCATTGCTATAGTACTGCTCCCTTGTCCGTTCCGCCCATTTCGTTGGTCACCGGTGCTGCATCTCCACTCCATCCGTCGAGACGGTCCTAGATCCGTCGCGAGAAGACAGAGCCCGGGTCTACTGACGTTCGACCATTAGAATGGTTGACCTGGTGCCCCGGTTTGGGGTGTCTATTGATAGCTCCCAAAAAGAGGTGATTTGGGGTGTCGATGAATTTCAGCCGTGAGCTGTGGAAGTCGAATGAAATCTCTTAGTCTTAGTCTAACATGCCTCTTATATACGGCTCCCGAGCTTATGGATCCAATATACCTGGACGTAGAAGGCGATTGGACCCTCCGGGCGCCCATCATCCCTCAGCTCGACCAGATCGATGGCCCTTGTCTTCCACCTCGCTGTCCTTTCATTTTATATAAGTGATCCCCAGATCCAGGCAAACCACGATGTGGGAGTCCCAGTGGTTCCAAAAGGTTCCAAAGACTAAAACCATAGACTTAGACACACCCTGGTTCCTTTTTTTGGTGCATGCCTTTCCTGGAATCCGATTTGTTCGGTTTCAGCTGCAGGTCTTGGAGGATTCGGGGCTCAAGAAGAACCAGGTGGATGAGCTCTTTGGTGAAGACATGTGAATCTCTAGGGCTCCAGTCCTGCCACCAGAAGATGTTCAATGCATTTTAGCCCTACAAAGACTATCCGACCTTCTCAAAGAGTACACTTGGAGTTCCTGGGAAGAGGAATGAAGAAGAGCTTTGCCTTTCCAGTTCATATCCTAATACATCACCCCCTTAAACGCACTACAGTAAACCCAACTGGTTGCCTGGCGGAGAGGGAACATGAAAAGATGAGGAGGGAGAACAGTTCCAAGAAGTATGGCATGCCTGCAGAGTGGGCTATGGACTTGAAGTTGAGTTAGGTTCGAATTCGAGCAATACTTCCAGAAGCAGTGAACAAGATTTGCCAGCCTTTGAGCAACCGCAACCTGCAGCAAGTGATCTTGAGCTGCAGTCTACTCGAGTCCATCACCAAAATGAACATTTAGACAAATTGCCGTTCTTGCAGGTTGCCAGTATACCACCTCCAAAGGGTTTGTCACCTCTTTTCCAACGGCTACTTCTAGATTCTAGAGGTCCTCCGCAAATTGACCTCGTTCTGCTCCAATGCGTCCTCCAACGCCAGGGCATCTAGCAACACGGTCGACCTTTCAGCTTGACCCCTGGGCCAAAAGAACAGGTTGACCAGCTTGGCCTTACTACTGGGAGCAAGGACGCTACTAGGAGCAAAGGGCATCGCTACTAGGAGCAAGGACGCTACTAGGGGCTCCTGGCCTTATTACTAGGAGCAAGAAACCAATCTACCCGACCAGTCGCTCCTCAGCATACCGACCGCTCGCGATGAGGATCGTCTTGGTGGGCGGCTCCACAAGAATCCCCAAAGTACAGCAACTCATCAAGGACTTCTTCAATGGTGCCTTGGTATACAAGGTCTCTCTCGTGACACCATGAGATGATGTAGACAGTCAAAAAGACTCAACTAGTTGACAGTAGAACAATGGTCGGGAAGCACCATTAGTAGATCACTAGATCAGATGGTTGGAAGCCAAGGGCCTTATAGGCCCTATAAGGATTGTATGGCTACCTCCTTGCTATTTTTTTGGCAGGTGGGGGTAGGGTCGCCAAAGAATTATGAAATAATATACTGTAATGTAACGCTAGTTCTTGACCATGAGCTGAGTCTATCAAAAAGCTACATAATTATACAAGGACACTCAGGTGTACCATGGTGTACCCCAAATATTACTAAACACGAACACTGACCACCCCCAAATAGGTTTTTGAACATCTACATGTTGAAAGATTGATAGAGAGACAAACAACATCAAACAACTATAGATCATGTACAGACGCCAAAGCAAAGAAGTATATTATCATGTTTTGTTCAGATGAATCAACCATCACATGTCTTGACTCTTGACCCGTCGAGACGCCCATCATCAGATGACCATGATGAATACGAGTTCTTTCACCGCTGCTTGTTGTCCAACATTCGGTGATGGTCTCCATGACGGCACCATCACCGAGCAGAAAAAAGAGATCAAAGGCTAACTTCCCAGAAAATCCCACATGTCCAATATGAAAGCCACCACAACATCAATCAATTGGTACGTCGTATTTGAATGTATTCTTATGTTTTGTTTTTTTGAACAATCATCAAAATTAAGCCCTTGTCAGAGGTGAGGGCAGAGACCAGTAGTGAGGTGGCAGAGTTCATTTCAAAACTCAATGACGCTGACAGGAAATAAACCGTTTTAGATTCGATGCCCAGCATAATTGTTAACAGTATGTTCAATTTTGCTTAAGCAGGTGCACCAAACAGTCAATAGTTAAGTTTTGTTCAATTGACAACACCCTATTAGGTAGCCAAATGAACTATAAGAAACAAGAATGAACCTTCCCCACCTAAGAATAACCAATTCATTCTGTGGAGGTGGGTGGGAGTCATTTGTGTTTGAGTACAGCGGTATTCATAGGATTAATTCCACTTTTGTAGGCTATAGGTTCTGTGGCAAACAGACCATTGTCTCGAGCCTTGCCCTTGGCATATACTTTGGGATTCGAATCGAAACGAGCCATCGGCTTCTTTCGTCAAATCAGTGGACAGTGGACCACATGTTCCTGTTTTCCCTCAACAGATTGAACACCAGGAGTGTTGAACGAGAGCACAGCTGCAAAGTTGAGTAGCAAGTAGATTGGAACTTGGAGTATGAACCTGCTACTCAGAATGAACTTGGAGTATGAACTTCCAAGCTGAAACTTGGAAGCAGAGGCTCGTTTTGGCTGGCCTCTTCAGGGTCCACCATCCGCAGGTAAGGAACCCAACCGCGGCATCAACCCCGACGAGGCGGGTCCTTGGCGCCGGTAAATCTACAGTTGTTGGCAGTTGTTGGACCATGTTTGAGGTATACCTGAGGTACTTCAGACGTCTACCGCACTTTTGAAGCAGCTGGCGGACTGGAACAAAAAACACGCACATGCCCAAGTTGGCTCAAACCTCGGTAGTCTGCATCTCGATGATATTTTTATGACATTTTATGACATTTGTATCCTGTTACATTCGCATGTTTGAGATCCTGAGCTGCTAAGCTGGTGCAAGCACGCACGCACGCACGCACGCACGCCATCCCTTCTGGTGTCCCAGGCCGTGGCCTATGGCGCTGCAGTGCAGGCAGGCATCTTGAGCGGCGAGGGTGGACAGGACCTGCTCCTGCTAGATGTGACTCCCCTGACCTTGGGCCGGGGCCCTCAGTGTGACTCGCGGATGTGACCTGGTTGGACTGGTACCCGCAGGGAGCGGTCGAACGAGTTAGGCTGGGCGTCGCCCATCTTTGGCATTGCTTGCTCTATTTGGCATCTCAAAGCTACCTTTGAATAGGCCTAGGCTTCGAGCCAATTTATGGCATGCTGTCATTTTGCCATTTTGCGTCTTGCCTTTGACCGAACGGATCGAAGCTCCACGTCCCCTCCAGCTCTCGAGGCATTGAGACGGTGGGCGGCGTCATGACGAAGCTGATCTCGCGCAACACGGCCCTGCGGTCGCACGGATCTGTGCACGGATCTGTCGCGTGCATGGACCTTGGAGGGCCTGGGCTGTGGTGCCCGATCCCTTGGTTTCATCGTTTGTCTTCTGATTTCTCGTTTCTTACTTGGCCTAGGGTTCGCATCATCCTGGAATGCGCGATGGGATGCCCGATCCTGGACAAAAGACACGTTGAATTTGAAGGTGTGTTTTTCAGCGACTGAAGATGGATGGGAAGTGGTGAAGTGGGCGATGGGGTTTGCACCATGCGCCGAACTGCGAGGTCGAGTCGATTCCCTATGGGGATCCACTGTCATCTTCAAAATGACTTCCGCACCCTCGTGCCTACAGGGCCTACAGCCTACATGTTTCAGTGTCGAACACATCACCTGCTCAGAGGGTGGTCCACCGTGATGTGTTCGAAGGTGTTCAGAACCTCTGAACATGTAGGGGCTCCTGGCATCGCTACTAGGAGCAAGGACGCTGGTCCTGTTTGTGCAGAGGCGTCGCATTTTCCAGGATACAAACGAGTCGTGATCAATGAACGATTACTGATTACTGTAGTGCATACGATAATAGATCAAAGTCAAAAGTCGGGCGTGGTTTCTTTTCTGGTCCATGAAAGAACGATGGCTTCCACATTTGATCACCCCTAATTTGGCAGGAACCACCCTTTTGGATCCTGGATCCGGAACTTCTGGTACTGGAAGGTGATGTGTTAACCCCCCTTAGGCTAGACCATGCCGTACGACACTGTGGGTGCACTCTCAGACCGACCCTACTATAGTTATATCATGTGATATATATACCCTCTTTATCCCTCTTTGATTCCAGTAGGGGATTCTGGTGATTCGACCAAACCACTAAGGTCAATACCATGTTAAACCTGTTGCCTATATTATATAGATATATGATAAATTGAATAAAGACAGGCAGGGCAAGCTACTGATTAGTCCATGGGAGACCACAGGAGACCACAGGACACGAATCCAGTGGATCAAGTGATGCTCGATCTGTTCATGTCTCTAGGCTTAGAATGGACCCGCTCCGAGTCTATGAGGGCTGGGCTCGACGGACGGTTGGTTTCCGGGATCAGGACCCTTCACCCAATAGGTGTTCCTCCCGTTCCGTCCTTCACTGGACGACGATCGGCCTTCTCAACTTCAGAAGGCTGAAGGATCTGAAGGGCCTCGCGTCGAGGTCATCCCAACGAAGAAGTCCCAGATTTTCTCCACCTACCAGGACAACCAGCCGGCGGTGAACATCCAGGCGCGACGCGGAAACCGACCGAAGCTTGGAGCGACGCGGTGTTTCCGACCGAAACGAAAAGGGGCGTATTGGCCTTACGAACGGAGCAAGAAGCGGAACTAGGAACCAAGGGGCATCGCTACGAACGGAGCAAGGACGCTTGACTAGGGATCTCTTTGGCCGCCCATTTTCGCTTCAGAACGGAACAGAACCCCCACATCGAGTTCGGCTCGAGAACAGTTTACGTAGTACCAGCACCCAGTTAGGGTGGTTTATAGACCACCCTGACCCCTGGAGATGTATTTTGGCCAAAGGCATAACCACCCGATGTCCATGGTGTTGGGATATGTCACTTGTATTTTGCTGAAGCGCTTCAGTCGTAATGTGGTCAGTCTTTGCATTGGGCCCACAGGCAGAGATCCTTCCTTTCAATCAAGATATCACCCGTTCCATCTCTGTCTTCTCGATCTTCTCGGAGGTTCACTGTTTTCGGAGTGGCCAAGGAAAGGTTGTTGTTTATCTCGGTAACAGTGGTCAATCTGGAGGTTGCCCAATTCTTGGAAATGGGCATGCTGTACACCTGGACATACCTGGACCCTCCATTCATACCCATCCAGAAAGGCAATAAATGTTAAATAGGATTTAATCAGATCATGTCTCTGGTTTGGTACTTTCGAGAACATGTAAGTAACCACCCTGCAGAGTTTGGAGAAAGTCGTCGCTTTCCCAGAGGTTCCGGATTCCACTTAGAGGTTATAAGGGGTGTCCATTAACCACCCCTGGTGGGTCCTGGTAGAGTCGGGTGCTGGTAGGAAACATCTTGCAGTCCGGACGAAAAGCCTCGCCACGTGGACGCACATCCGAACCGCGCCAACCCATGCTACGGTGCTGGACGCATCGCTGTTGTTCATCGAGGTCTATGAAGGGGAGCGACCCATGACCAAGGACAATCACCTGCTTGGCATCTCGGGTCAGGTTTTGTGCTCAAAGGAAGGGACCATGAAGAGACCTGAGAGATGGAGACTGTATTGGAGGTTTCGGGGGACGTTTTCTGGATGGCTTGGCTTGATTGTGCTTGGTTAGTTGGTGATGTTGGTGTGGTTCGTGGGAGTGTGTGTTTGGGTGGTTTGAACATGGAATGGTTGCACAAAGGGCCCTGTCATGCGTGGGGCTGAAACCAATTCATGCTGACTGAATGCTGACTGGACGCTTTGGATTTGTTGCAAGAGTTCTCTCCTGCACCACTTGCGCCAACTGGTCAAGAAATGGGAACAAATATCATGTGTTGATCCCCATTGGAATGTCCTCCTTGAAATGGGTACCCTTAACCCACTTAATAAGGCCTTTAGAGAATAATGCATTTCATAGCAATCGATGGTGTTGATATGTGTTGATGACATCTACAAAATGGTCTGCCCAGACCCTCCTTGAAATCCTAATTTTTTGACTGCCGTTGGGCCTCCGTTTTTGGGGGGTCGTAGCGGTCGTACAGAACGATCCCTTTTGGTTCATGTTGTCTCCCTTGGTTGGTGGCCAACTCTGGTCATTGGGCTCGTACTTCTGATGAGTCAACCTGTCCCAAATGCTGGATGGACATTGCCCGCTCAGAAGGACGCTAACTCCCGGTTCGCTCCTTACGGATGCCCATTTTTTCGGGCTCCTGGCCATCCTCAGGTTGAGACAGACTCCCCAAAAAGGAACCCGCTCCATCCAGCGAACCGCGTGTTGGAGGTGGGGACAGATGTACAGCGGGAGCATGAAGTGTCCTACAGCGGCTCAGGGTCGGCTTTTTCCGGTCCAGATCTAAGTCCGGGGCCGGTCTCTTGCCCTGTCGACCTCACGGTTGATCCGGTGCTTTTCGTCTTGTCTTAGACGTATAGAAGTAGTTCGGCGGTCTTCCCATCGACTTGAGCATGCGATGTCTGGACCTGGACCTCGAAAGGACCTGAGAGGGAGGTACGAATGAAGATGTCCTCATCCAGCACCCTTCGGGTGGTTTGATGTACTGTTGATGTTCTATTTTCTCTCCAATGACCACCCAAAAGCGTCTTTGTGGGTGTGAAACCCGAGACCACATGGTCCCCTGTCTTAGGTGAGAAAGCTCACGAGCTGTCCGACTGTCACTCGTCAACGAGCTGTCGAGCTGTCCATGGCGCCCCAAGCGCCCATGCCGAAACAACCCGGGTACTGTAACCAAATGAGTCCAAATGGCTTCGCCTCAGGAACTGCCAATCTCAAGTCGTGCGGCCGTAAGATGAGTGTCGTATAACGTCACTTGCCGTTTTTGGGGGACTTCCGCTTCCTCTTCAGTGTCGATTCGAAAAGGAGTAGTTCCGCCCCCCACTGGAGCGACGTCACTGAGGCAAGTTCGAGCTCGGTGGGATTCCGCCCGCGCCACGTGGGCAGCCGCAGATCGAAGTGACCTTCGAGATCGCCGCTCGGAGCTGCGGAGCAACCGCTTTACTGTAGCCGCTGTAGCCGGGGGAAAAGGAAAAAAACCACTATAGATTCACCCATTACATCCAATTATCAGCTTCTTCAAAGTGACCGAACTGGAAGGTTCCCTCTGGAATGTGACCCGTTTGACGGGTTCACTTTGAAGAACCAGGGAGACAGGTCTAGTATGGAGCACAAACGAAGAGAACGAACCAGCACAACGGTCGACACATGTGTTTCTTGCTTTGACCGCCGCGTTTGAATATTTGGACCAAAACGACACCTGAAGAATTTTCATGGTTCAAGTGAGTCTCAGGGTCAGAAGTGGTGGCACCAGATGGAGAGTTTGTGCTCGAGAGAGGGAGAGAGAGAGAGAGAGAGTCAATTTTGGGTAGGTGTATTCAATCGTATTCAATAGCGCAGAACAACCTGGGTTTGTTTTCCACATGTGGAGACGTAACCTCCCAACCGATGTATGTTGATTCGTGTTGATCCAAGTTTTCCTTCATCAGTCATCATATGCGTGAGCTAGAGGGCTCGAGTTCTGAAGAAGATTGTAGAATTGCAAAAACCATGCTTTCTGTCAGACTGTCGGACTTGCAGTGAGAGTACTGACAATTTGGGGTTCTTCGGGTAAATTGCACAGTGACAGATTGACGTGGTAGTTTGTGGTGGATTTTGTCCGTTTGCTTTGTGGAATCACGTGGAATCCTCAAATACTATAAAGCAAAATATACATTGAGGGACATAAACCAGCACCTTCCAGCAGGTTAGCACTTGAGACGGGGCCTAACAACCCTTTTTAGGAGACCTGTTAGGGTGCTGGAAGAGAGAATCTCACTTGGCTAGACTAGACGCTTAGAAGGTTTCACCCGGTCTTCAGCTGCGGGACAAAAGTCCCGCCAAGGACAGCAACGGCATCCTCAACGTCGGTGCCTCCAACTGTTTAGAGATGTGGGAGGCTTTTGCACGGGTGGTTGCGGCAAACTGGTCAATCTGGATGCCTTTGGGTGCCAAGAAGGAGCCGACTCCTTTTATAGTTTAAAACGCAGACGCAGAGGTTGGCTCTGATGTCACGCGGGCACTCACGTGTGCACGATGCACAGGATCCTCATGGCATGCCTCGAATCCTGGTGCGAAGTGGATTCAATAACGACACATGTCACAGGCCGTTTCTTTATGGCTGCTTGTACCCTCCAAAGGGCCCTAGACACCTTATTTAAAAAGAACCGGTGCTTGCATACTTGCACCCATGTTCCGAGGTACTGTGACGCGAAACAGATGTCGACTGGCATGTCATCACTACCTGTCAGAGAGCGCGTAACGGGAGCAAAGACATCGAAGCTTATGGGTTCAAGAGCCGTTCATATCTAGGTGAGCACATCCTGAACACGCTGCCATATACCTGTTTCTTCAAGGTGACCCTGGTGCTCTTCGCCGTTGCTTCGGTCACTGAAGCCTTTCGTTTGGGTCACTTGAGAAGGTACCCTCAGGTTCGGTCACTTTGAAGGAACTCGTTGGTGTTTTATTGGTGTATATACTGTGTCCAAAAAGGCTCCCATACTGTACTTGTGCTTGCTGAACAAGGGGTCCGCCTCGCTGCCTTTAAAAGATCGAAGGCACTCGGAATACTTCCAAAAGGAGCCGGTACTCACCCTCAGCTAAGAGAGCTGAGTATAGCTGGGTGATAGCTGAAGTTTCTTGTGCTGTATGCAATGTACCGTACTGGCTGCTATAAATGCACCCCAAACCACGCCTCTGCACGCTGCACTCCGGCAGCGGCTTGGGGACAGCCGTCCGCACCCGGCCGCGCCCAGGTGCAGAGGACAAAGGCACCGGAAAGAGCGAAAAGATCCTTGGCTGCGAATCGGGCGCCGGAAAACGGGTGGGGAAGTAGCTTGCACGCCACTGGGCGAGTGAATCGGGCGTTTTTTTGGGGTGAGGAAGGAAAGGAATAACTATAAATCTCCTTCTCTAAGCATGTTTAGAAGGGCATTGTTCAGAATTGTGTACTCGATTGAAGGGTGATTCAGCATGTTTCTATAATCAGTGTCTACCGTATCCCTCTACCACAACCCGGCCCTTCGTTTGATCATCAGCCTCCGAGGATCACCATCACCAACGACAAGGGCCGATTGACTGAGGAGCAGATCGAGAAGATGATCCGCGAAGCTGAGGAGTTGGGCATTGCGCAAAGTGGAGGGGCCCAGGTTTCGGCTGAGTGGTCAGATCAGTTGTTTGTTCAATTACATAGGGTCCAGGTATCTCCTGAGGATGGTCGAACGGAGGTGAAAGTACTTCCAGAGAATGGTCGAACGGGGGGTCAGAGGACATCCTCAGGATGGTCCTGGACCCTTAGGGAATTACATGGGGCATGTATGGATACGAACGCTGACCTCCAACCCCCGTCACCATCCATTTCGTTTGTCGAGTGTTTGTGGTGTGTGACGCACTAGAACGGCAAGACGACATCGTTCTACCCTTGTGTTTGGTGTTCTTTGCAAGCTATGAGCCCACATGTATGCACATGTGTATATAGACGGCGCCTAGTAGGGCTACAAATGCCTCTTGCAAAGCTTGGGTTTGTGTCGTTTGTGTCCAGGGGTTGCCCCCATGCTCCAGTACTTTCACGGTATTTACCATGACTTGCTTCCCCGCCCACGTGTTGTTGAGGGAGGTTTCGCCAGCCACTGGGCGTGCGCGATTGGGCATGCAAATCCCTTGTAGGTTGACATGCTGTTGATGTTCTGTGGTCAACCAGGCTTCCCTAGTTTTGACCCACACCTTTGCTGGAGCCCAGAGCTGGAAGCTTGGAGCAGTTCCGAAGTGCCACCGCAGAAGTCGGTCACGGCATTTTGATGCCCAAGATATCCCAAGATGTTTTGGTTTTTGGCTCCAAGCTGGCCATGAGACCAAGGGGAGTGTATCTTTGGGGTTTATTGGGGCAAACAGACTGAGCTAAATACCTTGGTGATGCTGATATGTCCTAGACTCAGACCCTCCAAAAGTAACCTAGAAATGGTACTGATCCCTATTTAAAAAAACAGGTACAACGGTACAACTGCACTCATTTTCCGAGGTACGACCTGAGACTCCAGGTTGTTGTCTCCCCACCCAACATGGTTGTCTCCCCATGTTTTCATGATTCGAGTTGTGTCCTCTTCCGACCGGCGCTGTTGGGCCGTCACTGTAGGGGATGTCAGACCTTCCATTGTCTTGGATCAGGAATCAGCATGGTGCAGTACGTACTTGCTTCGCATCCCCACCACCTGAGACTCATCCCTACCACCTGGACCAGACATCTCGGTCGTACCCTTGAACATAAAACATGACCCGAACCGAAAACAGGCTGAGGATGGCTGAGGTACTTTGAGGTTGGTTGCTTGCATACACGAAATGCCCAGATCTCGACTATAGGTGTCCCGCAGAGTTGTGTTATGCTGTGTCGATCGGGCGAAAAAACGGAAGCTGATTCCGGGTGTCAAGGTGTTTGTTGCGGAACTCTATTCCCCTGAAAGTAGGGAAGCAACGTGCTTCCAAAGACTCAATGTTTTTGCGGTATATGCTGTTAAGTTGCCAACTTGGTTTCGATGTGACACTTGATTAGGCAACTTAACAGCATATGATTAGGCAAGCCGATGATTAGGCAAGCCGATGTGGAGTCCGGAGGTCAAACCCGAAGGTCGTGTTGGACCTTCGACCATCAACGCATCCCCCAGTCGCGGCGAGACGCGAGTGTAACACGGTTCGCTGATAGCATGGTTTGATCCCACTCTCTCTCTCTCTCTCTTTATCTTTCTTGACATTGACACTGTTGTCAGGAGTTTGCGGATGAGGACAAGAAGGTCAAGGAGTGCTGCGAGGGTTTTAAACACGTTTGTTTGCACCTCTTAAGGCAGATGTGCACTCGGAGCAGGTTTTGGTGGAGTTTCTGGTAAGACACATCAAAACACATGTGTACTGTTCATCCCCAACGGTTGAAGGGTCTCCCTGTCCTAACAGATAACCATGTAAAGCATTAAGTAAAACATGCAAGATCCAGACACTCCCTGAAATCATGGAAGTGGAGTGAGTGAAACCGCCTATTTGGTCTTCGGATTGAATTCCTCGACCCGAGGAGTTAGACCCTCTTGCTGCAGGTGTCTACAGCTGTGCTTTCATTGTGGTTTCGGTTTTAGAGGTTCGATGGCACAAACCACCCCAAGATGACAGCTGGGGGGTCCACTACTATAAATATCCATCAAAACTTAGACATTTGTGCCGGATGACTTGTACCAAGCACTTTCCGAAATCGTCGACCAAACTGGGGGCCTCGACTTCAGCCACCGCACAACTCGCCGCAGGAACGCGTCGACGCGAAGAACGCCTTCGACGGCTACATCCACTCGATGCGCTCGGCCACGGAGGGCTCCGGCGATAACAAGGGCCTCAGTGAGAAGATGGACTCGGAGCCTTGGACTGAATACGTATACCCTCCTATAGGGATCCAGTCGTGGCATTCTGCGTACTTTGACCATCAAGACTCAAAACCTTTTTTACAGATCATAACAGTGTCTCCAATCACCTGAGAATGTATGTACAGCTCTCTACAGAGTCGAGATGAGTCGAGAATGGCTCGTGCCTCGGGACGGGGGTCGGGTACAGTCGTCCCTGTTTTTGATTTGGGTGATATCCCATTTTCTATCATGTTCTAATGTACGAACTGGAGGGTCCAGGTATCTTTACGGGGGTGGTTTTCGGTTGATGAGTTCCCTAGCTGGACCTGACTTCAAGTATCCTTATAAACATTGATGAACATGGATCTTCAAATCAGCAAAAGACGTGCTCGATTTATTCAACCTAGTATTGAAAAGAACTCTGCGAGCACCAAGCGAAGCTGAATGAAGCAAGATATACTCTGCAAGTCCAAAGACCCAGTAAAACCTGTTTTTTTATCCTTAAGCATATAGTTTGTGCATGACCACGTCCAGTAAAATGATGTCATTGACCTGCAGGGATAGTTATCCGGAGTGCGCTAGTGTGCCTTTTTGTACGCTTGTTTGCTGCTTTGTGCGCTCGTTGGCTTTTAGAGCTTCAAAACTGCTCAAACTTGAGTCTTTTGTTTTGCCTCCGAACCCAGTGAAATGAGGTCCTTGACCCGCTGTGATGCAACATTATGTAACAAAAGCTATTGCCCCAGATTACAATGTCAAAAACGATTTGTCGATGACGTCATCGGGGACTCAGTGGCAATCTTTCCCGGCCCTATCTACTCAGTTGGCACATCATTCTGGCACATGTACGAGCAATGGGCTGTTGGTTTCAGGATTGAGTGGAATTTGGAGAGACACATTACTGCATGATGCATGCATGTGTTTTGTTTGTTTTCTCCTCAGAGTATGATAGTATGACTCCAAAGGTCACTACACTTTGATCTCGTGTATGTCAGGCAAGCACCTAGTTCTGAATCGGATAACATGTTGTCCATGTCTGATTGGACCAGACTTGGGGTCCAGTAGAATGAGATAGAATCTGAGTAGAAGGACCTTCAGAAGACCAAGACCAGTCAGAAGGATGGACCTTTTTTCTCCTGAAACAAGGCGTTTGAACACCTTCACCAGCCACCAAAAGCAAAAGCACTCCTCGGTCCACCAGCTGGACCCACCGGTGTTCGATCTTCATTTGCAGCAGCTTCAGGATGAGAAGGAGAAGATCCTGGACGCTCTGAAAGACGGCCAGTCCTGGTTGGACTCCAACCCTGAGGCCGATGCTGAGGAGATCAAGGAGAAGCACAAGGAGCGGCGGGGAATTCGTGGTGCCGGGGAGCCGTGCCGCTGGGAATATCATAAGCACCCCCAGGTTCTCCCGTTCTTCCCCAGCTTAACAGGGACCTGGTCGTACAGAACAAGACTGGTACAGTCGTTTGCAGCAGTTTGCAAGTGAGTGGATGTGACAGGGGCACCCAGTTGGGCACTCTTATCCTTCCTTCCTCCGTTCACACGGCACCCCGACATGGGAACTGCTGATACTACCACACTTGCAACATCCAGGTCTAGTGACTAGTGTTTCATTGGGAACCTTCGGATCCAGGTCGTTCATGGGATCCTTCTGATCACATGAAGAAACCATGTTCCGGGCCAAACGATGTTTCTTCCACTTCCAGGGTTGGTTATAAGTTATACTATTCCCTGATGGCGTTTCTTCAGTCCCCGCAGAGAACAGTCCCCCACGCAGGTCGACCATGTTGGTCGACCTTCTCAGGAGATTGAAGGAATCTGCGCGCCCATCGTGTCCAAGTATTATGGCGGCGGCGGTGCGGGTGCTGGAGCCAGCGACGAGGACGAGGAGGAAGCGCATGATGAGCTTTGACCCTTGGGAGCCGAAAGGCGGTGCCGGCAGGGTTTCACGGGGTTGATTCACCAGCGACGCGAGGAAGCCGGGACCTTTTGGAAAGGACATCCCAACGTGTTGCAAGGTTCTCAGGTCCTTGCGTTTGAATGCGTTTGAGGTCGCGAGTCAACATTGTCGCCCTTATTTTACTGTCACTTGTGTGACTTGCTGAGATTGATCTACCACTTGCAAGGTGATCAACCAAGCCAACATTTATGGATCGAAGTCTTCCAACCTCGCTCAAAGTGTTCTCCCCCTACTGGTACCCGTTCCACAAGGGCTTCTGAGTACCGTGACTCGCCTTGCCGGTGAAAACCCGAACCAGGACCCCTAAGGAGGATGCCTATAGGGCCCTTTTTGGGGGAGTCTAGCTCCTATTATAGACCCTAGGGCTCTAAATACCTTGTAAGAAGGTGTTTGGGGGTGGTGCCAGTAGGGTCCAAATACCAGAGGAGGTACGCCAGGAGCCCTAGGGAGGAGAGACCCAGACGAGGACTCGCTCGACTACTTGATCGAGCACTCGATGAGACTCTCCCCCAAAAGAAGAAGCTTTGGGCGCTCTGGGTCTACATGTTGGTCATTTGGTGCCACGGACCTCATCTTCTTTTGGCGTGATTCAACAAGCAATGGGATCAAGGACCCTCTTTTCTTGGGTTTTGCACCTATAGCCTATAGCGTTCTTTGGTTAGGGGGCAGGTGCTGGTTTAAGGTTGCATTCGAGTTGTCCTTGTCATCAGTTTGCCTTGCTCCGACCTAAAGAATCCTAAGTATGTTGAACAACAATGTTCCACACTAATTTTGTGTGGCTATACACAGTAAGTGGATAAACTGTACGAACGGCTGAGCGTTAGGATCCCTGCTTTGTTGAAGAGAATCACCTGCTGAGTGATCATTTCTCATCACCTTCCAGACCGGGCTGCTTTGTTCAGGTTCCCAGTGTTTGAATCGTGGGGGAACCCGATGGAAGGCTCGGGCCGGTGATGGGTCTTGGGTCTGAACGGTCGCGCTGGTCGAACCTCGTGCTGAGGAGTTGATGCTTCACCGAGGGGAGAAGGGTGCTTGGTCGAACAGCGACATGGCGCTCTCCAAGACTCTGGTCTGAGCCTGTGTCAACTGGAATTCAGTGCAGCTTTGAAGCGACTCAACTCGTGCGTTGGCACGAAAAAGACCTGGGCAATGCCCACAGAGAAACCTCTGTGCTAGCAGCTGGCGCGGAAAAAGATACACTTGCAGCTGTGGTATCGCTGTTTCCTGCACCTCGTAGTCAAATCAAACCTCATATAGTCAATCATAGTTCAAAAAGCTTCGCACCCTATAACCATGATGTTCCCGAGGTGTACACCTGTCTCGCGAATCTCTCGTGCCAGATCCATGCCGGTTCATGGCTTTTCTCGGACCACACCCTAGCTCTTTCCCTGGGAACATACTGCAGGGCCTGGTGACTTAGTGGCCCGCCACGGCCCGCCTGGTCCGTCCGGACCCTGTGGACGGCCTGCGACCCACGGATCGCTTCGTCTGGATCCGTGACCTTTGGAATGGTTCCTTTTCGTGACCCGTCTTGGAGGCGTCCAGTGAGCGAAGCAACCAGCTTAGTCAAGTACAGTCCACGAACTGAAGAACCAGGTTATCGAGACAGATGAGACAGTTGAGTTCGCCCTCAGTTCCTTTCAGGCGTCCTGTCAGTTCGGCGTCCCGCCCTGACCCCCGGCTCGGTGCAGGTGGGCTGAGAGCCAGGCCTGAAGAAAGTCTAGGGAATATGAGGATACTCCCTTATAGTCCCTAATGTAGACTCTTGATTAGTACATCTCCCATATGAAGAGGATGTTCAATGCTTGTCCAAGAAGGGATCGTGTGGGCGCGCTCGTCGTGGACGGACCGCAAGTTCGCTCATTCAAATGGCTGGGGCTATTAATCAAGAGTCTACATTATATGGATGCACGAGAAGGTGATTGGAAGCACTGTTTTTACATAGGCATTAGGCATGGAGTCCAGTTGTACCTTGTGAGAAGGTGAGAGTGGATCTCATGAGGTTCCAAGGCACTTTGAGACACCTGACCTTTGTTTAGAAGGTGCTGGTACAGATCTGTTTGTCCTTTCATTGCATCCCCATATGGGTTTGGAGGGTCCAAACACCTTCTGAGAAGAAATGTGGCACTGTTCTTTTTCCTTTGAGCCCTACCGGCCAGCCATGATTCAATGATGTCCTGCCGGAAATCCCAGTTCCGGCAGTCATCTTGCTGAACATGACTGATGACTGGATGGTGGTTTCAGATTATCTATTTTGGATATCATTGATCCCACCAACTGACTAAGGTTTTGTCAATTGGGTTGAAACCACCAACCAGATGTGAGGTCTTCAGTTCCGTCACCATCCGACCTGAATCTTGTCAGATTCATTCTGTGGTCCCTCGTGGCAATGTGCTCACTGAGATCGCTGCGCGATTGGGACACACCAGGTTCCAAACCTCTATGACTGTTCTCCGATGCATTCTAGAACATGGAATAATATGACCCTACCCACACACTCCATGTATGGAATATATACTTACAAACCACCCCCAGTGTAGGCAAATATGACAGTCCCGTAGAGTATTGGGCTATGAAAGGCATGATTTGGTACTGTTTTCAGGTAGGTAGGACTGCATCCATCATCATCCATCCCCCACTTTTGCTTAAAACCCGGGTGACGCCAGCTCTATCGTCACCAGACTTCGCTGGTCTACCTTGCACTCGCTGTGTACGAACGGAACGCGTCGGCGAAGTGGTTCGATCGGAGGAGCCAGCGCAGTGGCAGGCGGAGAGATGGTGGCAGTCGCCTGCAGGGAGATGGCAGGGCAGGAGCCTCTCAGCCTCAAACGTCTGGGCGCCTGTCGTCCTCATGTCTATTCCTGGAAGACGTTTTGTAGGGGGTTCACCCATGAGGACTTGATTGATTGCTTGGAGGACTGAAGCGTGGAAGGAGCAATGCGACCAGATCCGGAAGAACCAATCTCCAAGAGGGGAAGTAGACCAAAACCTTTGTTGGGTGTCTCTTATTGAGATACACCTCCATATAGAGCAATTATGACACATGTCACATGTCACATATTTGTTTGTTATTCTGAATCTTGTCGAGTAGACTAGACGGTAGAAAAAAATCGTCCAATTTGCCAGTCCATGTCGATGATATGCATCCTGGCGGGCACGAACCTTGTCTGAACATTTCACCCCATAGCATGATGCAACTGTACCACACAACCATACTTTGGGATCGCTGATGGCCTGCGAGAGTGCAGTTGGATACTCCTGGCGCGGACGCAAAAAGTCCATGGCTCCAGCAGATGCTGCGCTCGCCGCGCTCACCCATGCTGGCCGTTGTGCAGGTGTCAATCCTTGACCGGCCTGGATGAGGTGGGTATGACTGGAGAGACTGCCTTTCTTACGGTACATACCTGGAGGCTGAAAGTACCTCAGAATACACCAGAAAATGGATGCAAGTACCTGTCTTTATAGGGTCATGTCTCATTTTCTAGGGTACTTTGGAGCTCCAGCTAGCCTGTCTTTGGGAGGATCGGGTTTGAGTTCTGATTTCAGAACATCCGCACTAAAGTAGTACTGTAACTTGCTGGCGCGCTCCCCCACCAATACTACTAGGGTCGGCGGATATACTGTACTTTAACTGGTCCAAACTTGTCAATGCGTGAGTCTTGTGTCTGCAGAACTGAGGTACTTTATTTGATTCAAGCTTGTGCGTGTGTTTTGGGTCAGCTGACACATGGGTTACTGGCGAATTCCCTGATTCACGTGCTTGAAGCCTTGCAAGCTTTCTATGTCATACGTCATACGTGTAGTCTCTGGCTGAGCTGATGGGGACAGCCAGAATCAGCTATCGTGCTAACGTAGCAAAATGAGACGGCCTCACATGGAACATGTTTGTTGATACAAATACCCAGGTAAGCTGTGAGGCATAAATTGGATGAGGGATGACTTTTTGGAAATCTGCTCCAATCAATTTTCAGGAGTCGGATCACACACCTCCGGGCTGTAGGTGTACGGAATAAGTCTGTGGCTTTGAAGTTTTTTTTGGTTCAACGTGGTAGAGGGAATGAATAGCTGAACAGATCATATGTCATATATGTTGCAATATCCATGTTTGAGACACAGCCCAAATGAAATCCATTGAAATCCTATATAGAAAAGAAAACCACCCTCGGTTAGAACCATGGTTTATAACATGTGAGAGATAGCATTGGCTACCAGCTTTTCCCTTTGCTTGGTAGTTGTGGAAATTGATGCTGTGTGTAAGCATTGCATTGCAGTTTGCAATAGCATTCTGGAATAGCAGTGGCAACAATGCCATACCGTTACACGTAACCTTGAGTGAAAGCACTGCTGTATAGACATCAGAGACGGAAGTCAAACACAAACTTCGTTTGGCTCAAGTGTGAGAGGAAACTTGTGCGGCAGCCTGGGTCCGATCGCTCGTTGCATCGTATCGTGACTTTTGCTGTACATTGCTCACATTTGGAAGCATATATACACAGATCTAAGAATCTACTGGTTATCAGCCGCAGCCGAGACACCCTGAGCTGCGGGATCGTGTCAAGAGAGAGACCAGAGAGTGCACTGAGAGTTCAACTCATTGTCTTGTAGATAAGGGGTCGAGTCACAAGGTCCAAGGACATAGTTGTTGATTGATCAAGACCAAGTACAACTACATCTCTTGCTACCTTGCTCGCGCCTTCGCGCGAATGGACCGCTCGCGATCCCCCGCAGCGGCTGCTGATCGATCGCGACCCCGTGAGAGACGGGCTAGGGGCGGTGACCCTTTTCGCCCTTCTCAGAGAAGGCGTGAGCGTGTTGGACTTCAGGTGGAGCATCGGACCAGAGGTTCTTCGCCCCCGCCAGAGTCGAAATACTACGCTCGTTCAAGGCCAGTTGAACCGTCGGGTCCACCTCCAGATCGTCGGCAACCGCGTGAGCCGGCGAACCCGCCTTCTGTTGAGACATCCTCTAGCCCAAGACGACCTCCAAGATTGCCACACGGGCCACCACCTGGAGTCACAGAAACTGTGTCTCACAGAAGTCTCCCAAGGCGTGTTGTCGTTGAGGAGCGTGAGGAGGCCGAGCGCGAGGAGTCGGAGGAGTTTGAGGAAGGAGCAGGATCAGCCCCATCGTCGGGCCCTCCAGTTGCGGACCCGCCGACGCGGGGCGGCTACTGGAAGAAAGCGTGGGTGTGGATTCCGGATCCTGACCCAAGAGATCTTGCCGGACCCGAGCATTGGAGGCCCGTTGACTCTCCTCCTGAAGTTGAATCGTGTGTTTCTCCATCGGTTGAGCGTGTTGATTGTGAGACGGAGGAGAGAGAGGAGCACTCGCGTGCTACAGGTCGTGGTGAAGCGTCGGAGTTTGTCGAGGTAAAGGTCGAGGAGGTAGCCGATTACGACGAGCAGGTCGAGGAAGAGCAGGCCGTTCCACCGACAGAGCCAGCCGAGACTGAGGCTGCGCACACACCAGAACCCACTGAGGAATCGACCCCGGAATCTCGCAGACAGGCTCGAAGAGTGCTGCGCGAAGGGGCGAGACATTTGAGGGAACAGGCCAAAGAGCTGAGGAGCTCTAGATCAAAGCCATCTTCGACGACATCACCGCAGGAGGCTTCGCTGTCGCCTCAGACAGAAGCTAGAACTCAGGCAGTTGCAAAATCGAAGGGGCGAAAGGAAGCGGAAGAGGCAGCAGAGGCGGATCGAAAGAGGCATAAGCTTGAGGCGCTGCCCCGCCCGCCGTTGCCGCCTGTCAGACCTCGTACTCCGCCTGTTGAACCCAGATCTGCATCAGCTCCACGGCCATCAGAGGCCCCGCTTGCACTTGAGGATCAGGCCAAAGAGGGGCCGCAGCTTACACAACAGGTCCGACCGGTGAGGCTGCAACCGCGACCTAAGGGGTCGCCTGAGGTGCGTGTGCCAACACCCCCAAGACCTCCTTCACCGTTGCCATCTTCATCAGCATCCCACAGGGAACCTCATCGGGAGGGTGATCGTCCGGCGACCGAGCGTGAGGGAGAGCTGCCACAGCCTCTTGACCCTACGTACGGGAGTGTTCCTGTGATAGCACTAGATTATCACAAGACATTGAGATTCCCAGGTCAACCGTTGTCGCATAGCAGCATTGCGTGCCTCCGAGAAGCTCGATCCCTCGGGTTCCAGTTGATCGTTGTGTCGTTTGCATCAAATCTCAAGACCCAAAGGGATACATTGGCAGATCTCACCCGGATCGAACAGGAGGCCGACATTGTTTTTGCGGACAAGATCATAACACGCCAGAAGCTGCTGGCGGATGAGTACCACGGAAGGTCGGTGACAGGGCACTTTCACCCGAAGGCGAAACTTGTAGCATTGACTGGAGCGATCATTTACGTTGACGACCAGCCTCAGATTTTGAGAGAGGTGTTGCAAGTTCAGTCGCGTCGTCCGAGAGCTCATCGAACCAGGACCATCCGTGCCGGCAGTACTCCGCAGAACGCATTGGCAGAGTTGTACGATCTCATTCAAGAGTTTGGCAAAGATATGAGATCGGTGCCGGTGCCGGTGGACCTGCGTGATCTTTGAGGAGAACTTGGTGCATTGAGTATCTTGTATCAGTTGAGCATTGTTCATTCATTTTGGTTGGAAGCATTGTCAGTTGTGGATCGTTGGTTGACTTGGTTTCAGTTGGCTTGAGTTGCTTCGCGCCTCGCGCGATCGTCGCAAATTCGCTGCCTTTTGCGCGTGACGAGCATCAAACTCGCGGACCCCGCTCCGCGTGCAGCAACAAAAGTGCGATTCGTGTTGGTGAGCTTTCTTTTGGAGTGGGAGAGTTGTGTTTCTTGTGTATTCTTGTGTTGTTGAACATTGCTCCGTTGATTGAGAGAAGATTCATAGAACTTGCATTGAAGAGTTGGTTGTCGTCGAAGTTGAATGAAGAGAATCACTCCAGCCACACCTTTCAGGGTCATTGGCCCAGGGGATAGCGCTTACACCACGTCATCTTCATCTCCGCCCCAGGATTCGCCAGACAAGAGCATGGAGAATCCGGATCCGTCGAGTTCAAGCAACTTGGCATTGCCGGGAGGACAGATGGTTCAGAAGGGAAGGGGCAGGTCCAGTGCTGTCCCAGTGGTGGAGGAACCCCCAGAACATGGCGAACCCCGACAAGGGCCAGAGGTGCATTTGCATGATCATCGTACTTTGAATGTACTAAATCAGAGTAACATTCCACCTCACATCCTTGAACAGCTTGTCCAAGATTATGTCAAGGCTGAGAGAGAGAAGGTTGCCATGCAGGTGTCGGTTGAGAGACAGCAATACACACAACAACTCCAGCAACAGTACCACACTTCCATACAGCAGCAACAAGAGGCAATATCGTCGGAAGCCCAGCAAAGGGTATCGCAAGTAACTCGGGAAGCCCAGCAAGAGGTGCTCAGACAACAGCATTTGGCAGAACAGGCCCAGAGGGACCTTATTATCGCACAAGACTCTGCACAAGCGCATGCGCGAGCAATAGAACAAGCCACACACGTGGCTGAGCAAGCAAATAGAGAAGTGCAACGAGTCCGCGAACAAGCAGCAATGCACATGCAAGCATCGCAACAAGCCACACTGTTAAGCACAGAGCACATGAGACAACAAGCAGAGAGAGTCATGGCCGAGAAAGATGAGAGGATTGAACAACTCTTGCATGAACTTGATGCTTTGAGGTCCTCCCCAAACGTAGGCAGACTCTTCGATACTGCATCAGAGCTAGGTGGCCGTGCCCCAAGCGTAGCTAGTGCTTCTCCGTTGAACGTTGTATATTGCCCTGTTTGTGGAAACCAAAATGTTTCTGGTCGAGGAAGCTGTTGGAACTGTCGGAACACACTTGATGACCCCAACAATGGCCCGGATTTGTTTGAACCACCACCGCATGAACGGCATCTATATCCATCTCCTGAGCGCCCACCTAGTGTAGCGACCATCAGGGAGAACGCATTGGTAACAAGGCCGGTGCTTGCAGGCGGAAGCCCGACGAGGCGTGACGTTCCGTTGCCAAAAGCACCAGGAGGGCCAAGACCGTTGTTGATGCCGGTTGCGCGTGAGGTGATCGTTGATGGAACCCCTGCTCATCAAATGCATGTTGATCCGAGACTCATCTATGGAGTGGCCACCCCAAAGAGTGTCTCAGAGGCTGAGTTCGTTGCCCCGCATGGCTATGATAGCGTCCCAAGACCTGGAGGAGCGGAGTATCATGTCCAAAAGGCGCCAAAGGCCACGCTAGGCCCGGCGTACCCGCCAGGGGGGTTCATTGGCACGATCCATGAAGCACCCTCAAGTCAAGTCCCTCAGGCTATCTCCATCGCAACGCCGCGCAAGAAGGAATCTAGTGATTCGGAGGCAGGCTCAGAGAGTTCGGATGACCCTGTTGGAGGCGGCTCGCGGTTGCCTGGAGGGGACCCTCCTGAACCATGGTTGCAGGAAGGTGAGACTGAGGACCACATATACAAGATCAAGCATTTGAGGAACGTCTCCATCACGAAGTTGCCAACAGATGCAACATCTTGCAGGGAGTGGCGAGCGGCTTTGCTAGCCTCCGTCTCCCGCATCGACCTCACTGCCAGGGACGTCCTTGTCAAGTACACCACCTACTGCATGGATGGCGGTCGCGGCAGGGCGTTTCGTTCGATGTTGCAGGAGGATCAAACGTTTATACCGTTTAACAAGCACCTGGCGGCGGAGTTGATCAAACAAGACGTGCTGGCGACGAATACTGACCTTGCTCATGAATTGTCGTCGTACGTGGAATCTTGCACCGCCATGTCTCAGGGACCGAAAGGAATGGCTTTGCTCAACATTGTCGCTTCTTACTATGAAACCGGTCTCACGCACTCAGTTGCCTTGGATCAGATGCACTTGCTATCGTTGACTCTTGCAGGAAAAGGCGCCAAGGACCTCATCGAGTTCGTCCGCAAGGCCAACTACATCCTCCATGGACTCAAACAGGCGGATAAGCCTGCTCCTGCCACTCTGTTTCAATGGTTGTGGCAACAGGTGAAGCGTGTTCCGATCTTGTCGCGCATCACTGACAAGGTCCGCGAGTCGTCATTGTCTTCAAAGAAGCGCACATTTGATTGGCTGTGGGCACAGATTGCGGAGGAGTTGAGAGAGCGTAGGCATGACATGAACTACGACAACATCAGTAAGGGCCTCAAGGACGTCCCCAATCCCAAGAACTTGGCATGCCCGTCAGGCCTCGCAGATGACAAGGCCGGCGACCGTGACTCCAAAGGTGGTAAGTCAGGCAAGGGCAAGGACAAGGGCAAGGATGGCAAGGGCAAGGGTGACAAAGGTAAAGGAAAGAAAGGTAAGGACTCCAAGGGCGACAAGGGCAAAGGCAAGGACAAGGACGGCAAAGGTAAGGACAAGAAGGGAAAGGACGGAACATCTCCAAGTGTTCCGAAGGCCGCAGCGGCAGCTGCCGCAGCATCCACCGTCACCATCACTGAGGCGCAGGCGAACGAGCTCATGAGCGTGTGGCGAGGCTTTTGCGAGTTTGCCAAGAAGGCATTGCCCGCGTTGAATGTGTTCCTGAAGGTCAGCGTTCCCATCCTTGCGTCGCTTGTCTCGTCGATTGTTGACAACACTGACGTGTTTGGTGTTGACAAGGTGGCCGGCATGTTGCATCCGGCTGTGGAGGACTTCAGGGGACTGTCGCTTGAATTCATCGGTGATACGGGGGCAGCCCACGATATCGGATCGCTGAAGGCTTTGGCTGAGCAGGGATTCGAACGAGGGATGCTTGAACCATGGCTCAAATGTCTTGAGAACCCGGTGAAGTTCGCGACAGGCGGAGGACCACAGACCTCTGTCGAAGCGCTCCGAGTCTATGCAAAGGACGTTGGAGACCTCAACATGCACTTGTTGAAGAACTGCCCGCTGGCGATGTCAATTGGGAAGCAGGTTGGTAAAGGTCGAACATTTGTTTGGCAGCACGGTAAGGTTCCCTTCATTGCGCTAGACCACAAAAGGTGTCGTGTTTGGTGCCCTGTTGAGAACCGCTGGTACGCCAAACGTGTACAAAATGATGTTCCCATCTTCTCGCTGCAGGCATCAGGGGGGGCCTTCACAAGGCCTTTCATTCCATGGTGGAAAGACGCTGTGCCAGCCCGCGGTGACTGCTACGTGTCCGGACTCTTGTTTTTGTGGAGACTGCCTTGAACGGTTGCCCGCATGTGTTTGTCAACTCTACCCGGAGAAGGTCGAGCACCCCGAGCAAGCTTGTCTGGATGTCGCTGCCGTTGGCGCGAGTGAGGTGCAGGAAGAGGTTGAAGCTGTTAGCGACTCCAACAAGGAACACAGGCGCAAGCAGCACCGCAAGGACAACAAAAGGCGCAAGTGGGAAGCCATGAAGAAAAGTCGCAAGGTTGAACGTGGAGAACTTCGTCTCCCGAGAGGTGAACAGTCGATGATCGCAATGATGCACGACATGGCTGAGTTTTTCCTGGAGCAGTCCCAGACCAACACCGGCCGCACTGGGCGCCGCTTTGAAGCGCTTGCTGTCGAGGTCAAGAAGGAGCTGGAGCAGTTTGACGCCATGCCGATCTCCAAGGAGAAGATTGATGTCTTTGGCAACGAGTACTCCAAGGAGAAGCAAAGGGCTCAGGCAGCCTTGCCGGGCAAGGGAAAGTTCATCGAGCTGTGCACAGAGCCCACATCCAACTTGGGCAAGGTGGGAGACTTGATGGGCATTGAAGTCATCCGGTGCACCAAGGAGGAAAACAACTTGGAGCATGACGAAACGGTTGACAAGTTGAAGGACATCATCGAGGAGAACCCTGGCATAGACCTTTGGGCTAGTCTTCCGTGTTCGCCTTGGTCGCAATGGCAGTACTTGAATGCTCACCGCTATGGTGAACAGTACCGCAAGAAGTTGGCGAAGTCGCGTGAGTTGTCCTTGAAATTGTTGAATAGGTTTGTAGAACTTGCTAGGCATGTCAAGGCAGGAGGCGGAGATGTTCATTTTGAGTGGCCAAGACACGCGCTCGGATGGCGTCAGAACGCCTTGTGCAAACTCATTCGTGAGATTGACATGATGGTGGTGAATTTTGACGGATGTGCTGTAGGTCTTGTTGACAAGGCCGGAACCCCATTCTTGAAGAAGTGGAGGCTTGCAACCACGAACGAGCGGTTGGCCCGCACGTTTGCTGACAAGAGATGTAGGCATGACCATAGTTTTGAGCACGCCCAGATTGCTGGTTCCAACACCCCTACCACGGCCATCTACCCCGTTTACATGTGTGAGTTGGTTTTCTCTGCTTTGTTTCCGGAGATAGTCTACCGGGATGTGCCGGCGATGCCTGTCATGCAGTCATGTGAACATGTTTTTCAACACGTCCCCAATGAGCCCCTTGAAGGCGCAGTGCTAGAGGCTGTTGTTTATGAATCTATTGATTCGTTCGCGTGTCCTGCTGACCCAGAAGAGCATGAGCTTGAGCCCCTTGAGTCTCGAGACGAACGCCTGAAGAGAGAGGCCACTTCCCTTGAACACATGACCCTTCATAGAAGAAGAACCCGTTCTGCGAGCACTGCATTCGAGGCCGGATGCTCAAACGGTACGCAAAGTCGCATCGTGAGGAACCCGAAGAAGCAGAGCGTGTGTTTGAACGGCCGACTGGTTTCGGTCATCTCATTGAAGCGGACAACATGTTCCCATCTGAGGAATCTCAGGGGAACGACGGGGAAAAGACAGCCTTAGTGGTGTTAGACAGGTTTTCAGGCATGAGCCTGGTGTATCCCGGAAGGGATAGGTCCGAAGACACGGTCTTCGAGGCTCTGAAACACTTCGGTGGCCACAGGTTGAACGGTGATCCCAATGTGGTGTTTAAATCTGATGCGGCCTCCGAGCTAACAAAGGCGGCGGCAAGGCTGTGCTGGAACATCGCTCCATCTGTCCCAAGGTCATGGCCACACAATGCCCACACCGAGCGTGAAATACGGGCTATAAAAGAATTGTGTCGTCCGGCCCATTTGCAGGCTGGTTTCCACAAGAAGCTTTGGCCGTTGTCCGTTGTGTTTGCTGCAAAGGCACGCGCTTTTTGGACTCCATGCATGGTTAGAGATTATGAGAAAGGCACCGATGTTGAGACGCTCAAACAGGGCAAGTCGCGTTGGCATGTTGCAACAGGCAGTGAGTTTCCTGGTCCCAAGTACCCCCTCGGTTCCCTTGTGTTTTATCGAGCGAAGGGCGACGGCATGGCTGAGCCGACCACGAAACCTGGCTTGTTTGTTGGCTGGCGTGTTGATGCAGGGCTTCGCTACAGAGATGTAGTTCAGGTTCTGGACTATGAGAATGTGAGGAACCGGGCACACCTTCACTGGAGCCCGCGTGACATGTATGTGAAAGAGGTTTTCTTTCCACCCCTTGAGCGCATCCAGTTTCCACTGGCAGTTGCAGCACGGCAGGCTTTGTTTAGCATGACTGATGCTGACGCAGAGCTTCGGAAGGCTGAGTACAACAAGTCGTTGGAATCCGGGGTTCTTCCGTATGATGTGGTGATTGACGCGTACCCGGTTGAGGATCGCCCAACACCGCCAAGGCACGCCTACATTACGTATGCAAGACTGCTTGAGCACGGTTTTACCAAGGGTTGCTCTGGTTGTTCTGGCGGGCACTACCGCCACAGCAAGGCGTGTCGAGAGCGTTTTGATGGCTTGTACCCAAGAGAGGCAGGCGCACCCCCAACGCCCGCTACCGGAGACCCAGTTCCACGCACTCCGGCTCTCACTCCTATGCCAAAGGCCGAACCAGGCCCTCGTACCACATCCTCGTCGTCGTCTTCGGCATGGGTTGAACCACCGCCGGTTGAAGGCCCGGAGTACTCTCCAGAAGGCCACCCAGAGGAGGAAGATCTGTCGGCAGGAGTTTATGCATTGGTCACTCGACAGCTTGGCAGGAGCGAGGTACTGGCCCGTCCTGACGCTTTGGAAGCGATCAGGAAGGAATTTCGTGGAGTAGGTTCCATGGGAACCTGGGACCTTGAGACGGTTGCGGAGGAGGCAGCGGTGAGACGTGACGCACTCGAGGCAGGCGAGACCATCCATTTGGCTGACCTGTTGGCCATCTGTTCTGAAAAGAACATGGAATTGGATAGCTCGTTCCGCTCGTTGAAAGGTAGAGTATGCTTTAGAGGAGACAATGCCAAGACCGCTGACGGTCGTGCCGCATTCTACCAGACGCTTGCAGCAAGTCCGGCAAGCATAGTCGCTGCGAACGCCATCATCTCTTTCGGCATGATCAAGGGCAACTGCACGACTTCGGCAGACGCCATTAAGGCGTATCTCCAGTCGGACTTGAAAAGCTTGTGTCGCACTTGGGTGAGGCTACCTCAGGAACTATGGCCAGAGAGTTGGTACTATGCTTCAGGCAAACCCCGCTTTCGCAGGCCAGTGATCTTGCTGAAGAAGTCGTTGTACGGCCATCCAGAGGCCGGCAGCCACTGGCAGGCTCACTTGGAAAAGCAACTGCAGCTGATGGGCGCAATAGCTGTCCCTGAGTATGCTAGCGTGTTCACTTTCCCGTCATATGGTGGTTTGGCACTTGTGGTCTACGTCGACGACCTGTTGTTGTCGGGCCCTAGTGGCCAGCATGACCGCTTTTGGGCAGACTTGGCAGAGCTTGTACAGATAGAGGATGTCGGACCGCTTGGCAGGTTCCTAGGAAGACACCACTCCATCGTGAAGGTTGACAACCAAGAGTGCTTTGCTTTTGACATGAGGGCATACGCACAGGCGACAATAGAAGAGTACTGCAAGACCACCGGTTGTTCCAAGTTGAAGGAGGCCACTTGTCCCTTTGTCACGAAGACCTCAGCAGACGATGAGGTGCGTGGTGAGTTGGCGGACATCGCATGTGGCATTCTCATGCGGTTGATGTGGATCGCAAGGCTGGCCAGGCCGGATGTCTTGAAGGTGACTACTTGGTTGGCTAGTCGCGTACACGGTTGGACGCTAGCTTGCGATGTGTACCTACACAAGGCCATCTGCTACTTGAATAGCACTCAGGAGGCACTCTTGCTAGGACATGTTCGAGACTCCATGGATGATTTGTTTGTAGAAATGTTCGTCGACGCGGACTACTGCGGAGACGAGGAAGACACAAAGAGCACCACAGGAGGATGGCTGCAGCTGTCCGGCCCGGCAACTTCGTTTCCAGTTGCCTGGTGCAGCAAGAAACAAACATCTACATCAAGGAGCACAACCGAAGCGGAAACGGTAGCGTTGGCATATGTGTTATTTGAGGAGGGAATCCCATTGGCGGAGCTCTTCTCGGCCATCTTTCAACGCCAGGTCTTGCTGCGCATTCGGGAGGATAATGAAGCATGTGCCAAGGTTTGTGCCGCAGGGTATTCAAAGAAACTTCGTCATCTGAAAAGGACGCACAAGGTCAACCTCAGCTCTATAAAAGAGCAGCTGGATAGGCCAGACGTCGAACTGATGATCGTAGGCACGAAAGAGCAGAAAGCAGACATTTTTACCAAGCAGCTAGAGGCTCCACACTGGCCGTTGGCTTTGTACAACATCCAAGTGCAGCTAGCAGGCTATGAGGTGGTCAGAACAACACAAACTGGGTTGAAGGTCGCGAGCATGGAACCACACGCCCTCGAGCCCTCTCCGAACCCGACCGTGGCGACCACTTCGTACAAGAAGAAACGAAAGACAAAGAAGGCGAGACGCATTCCGCCATACACAATGGCACCGAATGCAGAAGCTGAGGTAAGGCAGATGGGCGCTCTTTGAGGCGCGTAGCTGCTGTCAGCCATGGATGAAGAATGTCTCACATGCCATGTCGTAAGACTCGTGAACGGAGCTTGAGCCGAGGGATGTCTGAGCTTGAGCACCGAACACTTGTTCCTAGCTCCAGAGGGGGGAGAAAACCACCCTCGGTTAGAACCATGGTTTATAACATGTGAGAGATAGCATTGGCTACCAGCTTTTCCCTTTGCTTGGTAGTTGTGGAAATTGATGCTGTGTGTAAGCATTGCATTGCAGTTTGCAATAGCATTCTGGAATAGCAGTGGCAACAATGCCATACCGTTACACGTAACCTTGAGTGAAAGCACTGCTGTATAGACATCAGAGACGGAAGTCAAACACAAACTTCGTTTGGCTCAAGTGTGAGAGGAAACTTGTGCGGCAGCCTGGGTCCGATCGCTCGTTGCATCGTATCGTGACTTTTGCTGTACATTGCTCACATTTGGAAGCATATATACACAGATCTAAGAATCTACTAGAAATTCCATAATTTTGTCAGACCTTTCTCTAAAATGGCACCGGTTACTTGTTCAGGTGCTTCCGATCAGAATGAAGTCGAAGGCAGGAACAACCCTGGCAGCCCAACCACCTTCACGGAAAAGGGAGCTGCCTGAACCCTTCTTTCTCCAGATGGGACCTGACACGCACCCCACAACAGGCAGGGTACGTCTCATTCTGGTGGGCAGGTTCGCTCCAGGGCATGGATGGCCTTTGACGCTGGTTGATTAATAGAGGGAGTACCTTCCAGTGAACAACCAACAGGTATATCAGGTATATGATACCACATGGGTGTGTTTTGATAGAGAGACACCCAACCAATGGATTGATCGTCTATTTCTTGAGAGGGTCGAACCTGGGAGGTCTCCCTGGCTTTGATACACAAATCGACCTGGGTCAAAGCCAGGGGACCTTGGTGGCTCCAGGTGTTCACCCACGCCTTGGTGGCTCCACGCACACCTGACCCCTGGAAACACCCCGGTTTGGTGTGACGCTGCGATGCTCAAGTGACGCAGTGGATAGTGAAAGGTAGGTGGATCAAGGAGCGAAGCAGTTCATGAAAGGTTGATGAAGACATATTAATCGATGGATATATAATATATGGAGCATGAATGCTGAACATCGATTCCGGCAGCCTTCATAACGCCTTAATGAATGGGTTTAAATAGCCCTGACAACAACAACAGCGTGGACCCTTGCAGCCGGCGCCGGCGCCCATCGTTTGTCAAAGCTGAGTGCAGTCACAGAGCATAAAGGTACCCTATGATTCGTACCTCGAACAGCTCAGACGAACAGCTCCACTCGAACTACATGCCTACCTATGGCTGTTGGATGCTGTTCACTGGTTAATGCCCCGGCAAAACGGTGCATCAACGGTCGCCTCGGCGCTCCACCGGAAACCGCCAACGTCACCGCCCTCCCGCTCCCAAAGGGAACGCGGGCGGTTTTTTTTTTTGTTCGCGTCCAGCGAATGGCTTGGTCGACTGCGAAGGCAGTCATCAGTGACTTGGAAGCAATGATGTGATGTCCATGTGATGTTTTCTTGTGATGTCCATGGGGCAAAAACAGATCTGCATACCATGGGAGCTCAAGCATCATCCACACTGTTGGGAGGTATGTGCATCCATACCTGGAATACCCAAGTCCCTTCAAAAACAGTGTTGCCAAATAAGATCAATTAAGGGTACAAACATGCGAAACATGTATAAGCGGTATAAGCCAGCACCACCCACAGATGTTATTGGATGGAAAATACATGGTCAGCGGGTTCCATAAACCACCCTTCTGGTGGTGTTGGAGTGTGTTAATTGTTATTAAACAGTTTCATGACGCTATACTGTAAATATCACATAGCTATATGTACTTTGGAGGTTCCAGGCATCTCAGTTGAACCAGACCACATCAGTTTGAATGCTTCCTGTGTTTCAACGTGGCCCACCGGGGGTGGCCCACCCCGACGGCCTGGTCGGGGGGGAAAAAAACAGCTGGCCCAATGGGATAGTACAATGTGACTCAGGATTGCCGAGGTTTTTTTGTATCCACTCATAGGATCTTCTTGTTGGACTATTGATATATATAATATATATATATACATTATACACACCTGGAGATCTCCTGAGGACTCCTGAGCCAGGTGTGTTCTGTTTGCGAATGACAGGAGGATAGAGCTACTACCGTGATCAGGTGTGGACGCCACGGGCTTCAACCACGTGTTTCATTTCGGGATCAAGATCGAATCAGGATGTTTGATGTCAGTTCTTGTTGGTTCTGAAACAATATCGTGAATGTGTTCGAACATACTTTGTACATCTTTGTACTGTAGACAAGAATAGTCTGTGTTTTTGTGCAACATATCCTTCAGTTGGCAAGCTCCGTAGCATGTCGCAGTGCCACAACTGAGGTCATTTGGACCAGAGGCTGGGTGGGTACTCGACATAGGGACCTTGGACGGAGGGACTAACATCGGTTCTAGGCAGTCACGGGTGTTGCTGGTGTGTTGTTGTTCTTTTTGCCACTTAGGGTCACCAGTGGTTCCAAGGACTAAAAAGATAAGAAACATGAAGCCATATAATATAGTCTACTACCTTGGCTCCGTAGAGAGAGAGAGAGAGAGAACTGCGGCTTGTTTGACTTCACTTCTGTCACTTCTATCGAGATAGAGGCCCTTTGTGGTTGGACCTTTCAACAGAGAACTATTCTTAACGTCTAAAGGCATGATGACCGACATGTAATAAGGAACACTGAAATCATACACAACAAGTGGTCAGGTTATGTCATGTTCATTTGTTTTGTGGAGGTTGCATCTGAGGTATTTTGAGGTTCTGACCATACCAGAAAGACGGGCATAGTCGCGAACCCAATCAGATATCCCAGACGCGATACTGGACACCCCGACCACTCGGAATCAGACCCTCAAGTGGTCAGGGTCCGACCGGTCGCAAAATCGCTTGGTCTCGGAAGTACGAGGAAGACGTGTGCATGGAGCGGAAGTACCTTCACTTTCCTGGCTCCAAGACCTTTTCGAATGCGTTTTAAGCAGAACATGCCGAGACGCAGAAGCCGAGACACAGATGATGCGAAAAGAATGCTTCACCCTCAGAAGTGTCATGTCGGGGTGCTATATAGATAGTCGGGGTGCACAGAACATCCATTCAGCTGAATGGGATGAGCCACACCACCCGGACATGTGACCCCTAGCCGCTCCGGAAGTGTTTTGCCCCATTTTCATGCAACTCCTGCACCACCCGGCCCTCCACCACATGGTTCAAGTGTGAACACCATGAACAGAACGATCGTGATCGTGATCTCTTTGTGGAACGATCCGTCCGAATCGAAAGCAGTGTTCGTGCGTCCATTCCCAGGTTTGAAGCGGAGAAGGAATTACTTTATTGGCAGCTACTCGATGCCATGGGGAGACGTTTTGGTGTTTTCCAAAAAATGCGGAGAGGTCGAACATTCTGCAGCACATACTTGACGAATAGAGATGCTTTCAGAGAACCTGGGTGGTTTTGAGAGGTATTGGCTGAGCCATAGCAACTATGACACGTTCTGGAGGGTCCCCACGCTACAAGTCAATCAGCTGTTCATGCTGTGTCCAACGGCTCTCCGTGGTGCTAGCCATGGCTGTGACAAGGCTCCCAAGCCGACATTTCCGATCTCTTCCCAAAGCCTATATATAGCTTAAGCATTCTTGGGGGCCAAACCCGTGACATACACCACGACCTCCACCCATGGTTCCTAGATGTTCCTAGCATGTCAGCACTAGAGTTCAAGCAACCCGGGTGAATTTATTTCGAATACATACCCCTGGAGTCTCAAAGTACTTCGGATGTATGGGTGCAGTCGTACCTGTTTGATGTTCGGGTCATGGTCCAGTTACACATTGTTCAAGTCAAGTGGAACCGAAATGCCAACAACCTCGAGGCATTCCTGGAAAAGAAGAGCCCAATGAATGTTCTCAGCTTCCTGAGGCACAGACTTAAGAGTTCCAGGCTTGATACGCTGCTGAGTGGTGTGAGCCTCGCCATCTTCTGGGCCTGGGGACCCAGGGCGGATCGAGGCATTTCCAGTGCAGGCCAGAAAAGCGCCATGAGTGGGTGGCACCACTTCCAGTACTTGAGTTCTATATCCAGTAACAAGGGCATTTGGCATTACTACTAGTAATAGTAGCAAGAAGCTACTAGTCGAGTTCCAGTCCAGATGTGCACTCTTTGAGATCATCATGGCTACGTGGATGACAGCACCTGTTTGGCAGCACCGTGTCGACATCGGTGCCATGCCATGCACCTTTGGAGTGGAAAGCTGGATTGGTGAAATCATGCCCACTGTCCAGGTGAATCGATTTAACAGATTAACTACCAGGGTCATCCTGTTTGGGTGTCCAATAGACTACCCTACCTTACTTACAGGCCTCCATTGGGCACCCATTGGAAGTGCTAGGTGTGCATTGTCGTGCCTAGAATCTCTGTTCATGCCGAAAATGGGTCCATAAGTTTACTTATATTTGTCAATAGTATATAGCGGTCTGATGTATAGTCATGTTCCATTTTCTGCGGCTCCTCAGGACGTCGTCGGGTTAAGGCTGCATGTGTATTTGTTCTGTTTCTCCCTCCGTTTTCACTTCCCGCGGGTGCTTAGGCTTCCTTCGGGTGCTCGAAGCTCACTTGGCTTCCCAGCCCTTGGCTGCCTTGCACAGCTCGTACCTCGAAAACAGCTCGAAAACCGGTCAAAACCGCGCACGATCCAAGGCTTATCTGGAGCTTCAGCGCTTGAACTTCCCTTCTCCCGAGGTGGCCGCGGCCGCGTTTGTCCGCCGGTTTCAGCGGGAGAGTTTCAGTTGAACTATAGGGAGATCATGAAGCGAGCTGGAAGGGGCGCCAAGTCACATGGATGGGTTATACATGGGAGATTATTATAACTCTACACTTGGACCCTCCTGTCGGGGTGTCCTGGCTGGACTACCCCACACTACCTATAGGCATCCATACAGGGCACCCCTGGGAGGGTCCTGGCATATTCCAGACATGATATCATATGGTTTTTGCTTGGTTCATGTTTGATTCTTTCGACTACAGCCAGAATGCTTGTAAGTGAAAAAAGTGTAGCATGGGATGCATGGAACATATCGTCCTCAAATGTGATCAAGAGCGGCTTTGAGCCCCTCGAGCACCTATCGAATGTGGTTGGGGCGGGTTAGGGATCAAACTACTTTCTGAGGATGTGGGCCAGGAGCCCACGAGAATATTAGGAACGGGTCCTTTCCTGAGAGCTGAACAACCCATGACAGTTGCGAGCGCAGGACTTGGATTTCCAGTCCATTCTCCACCTGGCTGCTGGGCAGAAGGGCAAGAAGCCACGGAGGACACTCTAAGTGCATCAAGAAATGACTATATAATGGGGTAAACCAAGCCGATAAGAAAGCTATCGGCAGTATGTCGTGGTAATGTGATAATTTACTTTAAAATTGGCTGGATGTGTGTGTGAGTGCGCGTTGTTTTTCGACTGGCAAACCTCTACGCATATCAATCATTTTGCGATGCGGAAAACGAGGAGCTCGGCGTGCGAAGCTGAAGTCTGCGTTGTTGTTGAGGCAGAGGAGTTCCTTCGCTGGTAGCACTGGCATTGGAGATTAGAATGCTGATGATGCAGGATTTCTTGCTATCAGGAAATCAACACCCTATACTTTGTGAAGGTGCACACACACATGGCATTGTGAAACGCAAAGCAATTGACCCGTGTGGCCGGGTTCCTTCAATTCCATTTGGTCAGCACGGAGGAGAAGGGCACGCAGACAGACAACGCTGAAGTGCGGCTGCAAGCCCAGCCAGCATGGTGTGGCGGGAGCCAGATTGGCGCGAAAGCAGTGGTTCGTCTCACGATCTGAAATCTCACGCTTGAGGCTGTGATCGAGAAGAAGAAGCTTACTGCGCGCAGTAGCATGTTTTTTGTTCAAGAATGTTGGTGCAAAGCCGCATGTTGCTGAAGGCAGACCTGGGAGAAGATGCAACTACAGTGGTTGGCCTGGAAGTGTTGACCCCAGATCTTGGGAAGACAAGCCTCAAGAGAGAAAGCAATAAAGGTGATGGAGTCATCTCGAAGCACGATGCATTTATGAAAAGAGTGGAGGCTCTCAGCCAGACTTGAACTGCATTCTAAGGAGTGTTGCCGCTCCCAGACAGGCTATCTAAGGAGTGAACCTTCGCAATGTGTCGATGAACCTGCATGTGAATCAGAAGTCTGAATTGCAAGAGACTGACATGAGTGGCGTGCTTTGCACTTTGCATTGATGTTCCTGTTCCAGGGTATGTTGATCATCTTCAAGGATCTTGTGGCAACGCAAGATACTACTGGTGGAAATCAAACAGATTAGTGCATGGCTAGGTCGCGTCTAGTGAAGAATGATCTCACCATGTATGATGACGCGGATGCAGGTTGGGCACCAGCTAATGACGTGCTACACATCATTACACACATATATATATAATATATTATATTATACATATACCTCATATAGTTCTATAGGCTCTTCGATCGCTGCGATGCGGATGGCTCAGGCTGGGAAGATGTCAGTTTGCGTCACTAGTAGCCACTGCCAGGGGGATCGATGCATGCAGCCAACATGTTTCGACGAAAACGTTTGGGGAGGCTTCAGGAAACCTTTGGTATCATCGGCCACGCTCCAGGTGGTCCAACTTGTATCAACCTGGTCTCGGCCGGTAAGTCAGAACATGAGTGCAAATACCAAATTGAAGTACCTGCTTTGTATTTTCGCAACGAACACTTGTAGCGAACATGTCACCCGGAGATGTCGACTCTCTTCGGCAGTGTAGTCATGAGTTTTCCCCACCACTTCAACGACGGACCATGCCGGACGGCCTGGAATGGGTACATCGGAGACACCGTTTGTTGGGTACCGTGTGAGTCATGTCATGGACTCATCCATCGCGAACAGGTGCCTGCGATGCTCCTGAGGTTGGCGCCTTCCTATTGGCCATCGCTTCCTCTTTAAGCTTTTTGGACCGGAGGGTCGGAGGGTTTGAAGGTGGCAGATCCACAGCGAATCATCGATGTAGACGGTTGAAAGATGCGGTTGAAAGCAGCGGACGGGGGGTTCTATTGTATGGAGCCACGTTCGGGTTCTCAGAGGGTCAACGGACAACAGCGAGAAATGGTTTTGAACAACAGAAAACATCAATAAACACTGGCGCCCATGTTTGAACTCCAAAGTACCCCATGAGCATGTGACCTGACGCTCTAAAACCCGAAAACAGGCAGCCCGGGAGCGGACGACCGACCCGAACGACCGCATGCCGACTCCAGGAGTCCGTAAGCCTTGAGAACACATAGTATAATAGACATATGGACTTGGGCGGCATTGGATCAAAACCTTCAACATCAAACCATCAAAGGTTGGCCATGTGTTTAAGTGTCTTGTGTTGTTTTTGATGGGTCAACGAAGGTCCTCTAGTTTGGACCCATAGCATCTCATAGCTGCGTCGCACAGTCACAGTCAGACACAGACGCGACTGCTTAGCTGCGTCGCAGTCAGGGCTCAGCTCACTCCAGCGGAGTTTGCGGATGAGGTGAATTCCTGAACCCCCGCGGAGTCAGCGACGCACCACGAAGTCAGGGTCTATAAAAAGAAGAGTCGGACCTAAGGGACCGCATTTGAGCGACTCTGGCATTTACAAGAAGGCATTGTCTGACCCCTACATAGGGCCTACATATTCCATCATATTCCTATATATATAGTATACAATGTATACACAGTTTATAGGGCCTACACATATATTCCTCAGGATCAGCCTGCGTCTGCAGGACACAAGCTGTATATCATGTTGACTGTGGTTCTGTCTTAAAATGTCTTGAGTGTTGCGTGTTTGTGCCAGCACCTTCTGGTGCATGTGAGCCTTGGATCCAAGCATATCTATAGCCTCCAAACCTGTAACCCTCATGAACTCTCTCTCTCTCTCTCTAATGCCCTTGGTGAGATTGCCCAACCATCAACGCCGTGCAGGAAGTAAATCTGGAGTTTCTGTGGCTTCCGCTCGCCTGCGTCTATTGTGCCTTTCTGCCTCTCGGAGCAATAGAAGGTTGAGAGAAAGGTTTTCACAGGGTCAATGTATATAGGTAAATATGCCATATACAGGAATTGATGATTTATCTCACTCGGGACTCCAGACTTCCATCCACCTTCAGACTTCCCACCGGTTTGAACACCTTCATCATCTGCTTCGTCTGTTTGGGCGGCGACGCGGCGCGACCGTCCGAGGGCGCAGCTCCGGAGCGACGTCCGCGAACGCCTGGTGTGCGTGGCCTTCGCCGCGGCGGTGTCCTTGACCCTGCCCTTGCGGGCGGCCACCGCATGGCCACTTGACCTGAGACCGATGTGTGAGAAGCGAATGGCCTAGAATGAAGTCTGTGGGCTTGTACAGACGGGATTGGTTTGGGTGAAAAATGGGGCACTATTTGGGATCCACTCATCAAAAGGGTGAAAACCCGACCAATTCCGGAGGGTGGAAGGCGTTCCCAACACACCCATTGAAAATACACTCAGAAGCTTCACCGGACCTGGCTCGAGAGCTCCTTGATAGTTGGAGTGTCTGGCAATTGTTGGGGTCATCTAGCCCCGTTTGGGTAGAGGCACCCTTCCACAAACCACACTAACTTGGCTTATCCATGGAATGCATGATCAAGCGCTTGACTCCTTCAAGGGGAGAGACCCCCCATCTCAAAACATAACTAGGTGACGGTTTCGGATATTTGTATGTTCAACCCTATACTTGGGGATGATTGGACCCTCTGGTAATATGTTTCAAGTGGGTTGAAAACACCAACCAGATGATAGGTCTTCAAGTCAGAAACCAGGTTTAGTTCCAAAAACCACTCTTTTGCACCACCACAGATGGTCATGGGTCTTTCCTTCTTCGGATCGGTCATGCGTCTCGCTTTCCGGTGTCTCGGATCGGTGACACCGTTTCGAGCGAATGGGCACAGACCTGGAGCCTTCAGTTTGGACGGAGGACATGACCCGATGGCCCGACCCCCCAAAAAACAGGTACGACTGTCAGTCTGACATGTCACAATGTCACGATGTCGACTACCCATGTTCCGAGCTACGAGTGGTCGAGGTCGACTCCAGCCCTTATGACGTGCCGATGTTCCGGATTCGACCAGACGTCGGGGGTCGCTGTATGTCGCTGTCATGCGGAAGTCCAGCGAAAGACCGCAGATCAACAGGACTGCCAAGAAGGTCCGGCCAAGGGACTCTGGGACTCTTAGACAACTGATCACTATACATTGCCATCAGGGCTTTTTGTTTCAAAAAACTGCTGGTTTGTTCGTACCTCCCTCGTTGCTTCCGACATGCTGACATGCTTCTTAGAAAGCCCCCTACGTCGTGGGCTTCCCTCATAAATGGTGGACGTCAATCAGAGCTTGAGGCTAAGTTCGAAGGGATCAATCAGAGTTTGAGGGTTTTGGTGGCACAACTTGATGATTTTGATGTTTGTTGATGGGCTAGAGGGTTCGAGAGGTTAATAGATCGGGGATACCCTGGTCGTGAACAACCCATAAACCTACCATCGACGCCTCCGACTGTTTTCCCAGGACTGGACTGTTTTCATCGGTATTTACCTGGTCTCCGGCTGAGGTTGGTTCATCTCTCTGCGCTTCTGGGTTTTGCATTTTCCATCTCGGAGCTGGATGCAGGCACACGCCCCGGGGCGAAGGGCGGTGCGCTTGGTGGCCCAAAGGGCGGTCGTGTCAGTGTAGCTTCGTTCCGGCGAAGCTAAGAAGAGCTCCATGTAGGAGAATGCGACAGCCTGCAGTTGCAGTTCCTGGCATTTTGTTACGGTTATGAGGATTGGATGCAATCTGTATGGTGTGGGATGGTGTGGGGGGGTTCGCCTGTTGGTTCATGTTTCGAGAGTCTACTCCCATGGCCCATGACCGTTACACAGATTTGATCCATGACTCTGGATCTGGTAATGGATGAGTCCTCAGACTTTACAGTGATGGGAAGTTGGAATCGTAGTAAACCAATTCCCCACACATACACCCAAGCACACTCAGCCACCTGGGGCTCAGAGATTAAAACCGGAACCCTGAGTTCCTCTATGTTCCTCTCCCTTCGGAAACGTTTCCGAAAGCCACACCTTTTTTTTTGGTGGACACTGAAAGTCCACTGAAAGTCCACTGAATCACACCTTCATCTCACATGAAGGATGCGCCATGCATTACATAGACCTGCCACTGATGACGTCCGTCGTGTTCGATGTCTTCAGGCATGTTCGCCCTCACTGGGGCCTTGCTCCTGCTGCTGGTGTGCCGGGTTCTCGGATGGCCACGGCCCAGACACGGGACTATCGGGACTGGCATATTTACGTTGGGGGTGTGCGAACTCCTTGCCTGTATCAGTCGGTAAACAACTATCACAAGTTTAGAGAAAGGCCTTTTAACATCCTTTTGCTAACCATCATCATCCACCGTTGCAGGGAATAGGATAGACCCAACATATTTACATATAGTGACCCTGAAGATCCCTGAAGCCACCCCAACATAATGTAATACCGTTTGTTTATTTCGGGTCGTGTCCTATGGGTATGAGCTGGAGGATCCAGGAAAGGACCTTGTGATCCACACAATCCACCTACCTTCTGAGAACGTAGGCAGGGAGGATGCTTAGGCTTAGACTGCTGCATTCACATCCCCACTGACCTGGGAGTCTGGGAGGGGAATAATTCTTGATTTTTTTGGGAACATGATTTTGACTTGTCGAGATTTGTGAGTATATACAGTATACGGAGGGTGCAGACCAGTACCCTCCTTTCGGGGTCTCCAATGGAATACCCTACACTACTTGTGGATCTCCCTTGAACACCCTTTGAAGGTTCAAGGAGCGTTGATCTTGAAGCCTTCGTGCATCAGACTAGACCTTGAGAATTTGCGAGCCTTCAGCACTTGTGTTTGTGCACGAGAAAAGGACACAATTCCACGAGCAGTTGCTCTGAAAAGGGCATGGTAGACGGGGAAACCCATTGATTCGCTCCAGAAGTCTCGGAAGTGGTCACACGGTCTACGGGTTTGGGTTCAGCAGGATTGAGTGCCAAGAGATGGCGAACATGTTGAACTTTGGAAAGCGCCTGGATTTGGGGTTTAGAGGTCAAAACCGATTGGTGGTCTTGGCTGAGACAAACAGATGTACACGGGCATGAGAAATTAGTTGCGAGGCTGTGGCCTGCTTAACGTAGACATTGCCAGGGCGGCTAGGGCTTGTGGAGAAAATAACTATACAATAATAAACATGAATAAATGACTCAAACCAGAGAAATCCACTAAAAGGCAACCACATACACATCACATATCTAACATCATAGTTTGTAGTCGGAGGATAATCTCTTGTTTCCTGAGAGAAGTTAAGTGCACGACGCCCATTGGTCGGCCCTGGTTTGGTTTTGTCTTGCCCCGGGTCATTTGGGGATTTAAAGGAGCTAGTGATTGCATTCCCCTAAGGGTCCAGGACCATCCTGAGGATGTCCTTTGACCCCCCAAGACCATTCTCTGGAAGTATTTTCACCTCCAAGACCATCCTCAGGAGATACCTGGACCCTATGGGTTCATAGATTACGGCTGATTACGGCAGTTTGAGTTGGTACTGCCATACAGAAAACATCAGATAGCTGCATAGTTAGACATTATGCCATTATGCTATAGATCATTGTATACCTGAACCCTCCAGATGGTACCCTGGAAAATGGGACATGAGCGCAAGCAAGCAAGCTTGTGATTGCGTTTATGGTTATAGTTATAGATGTTATAGTACTTTTTTTGAAGGTCCAAATCAAGGGTCCCAGCCACAGAACAACATGATCGAGTTCCTTTCTGCGGCCCCGCGATCCCATGCCCCATAAATCCACGCGCCCGACCTGTCCTAGTCCGCTCCGCGTCCTCCGCGCTCCGCTGTGAGGCAACTTTTACCACTCCCTATGGCGAGCCGAAGCTCGCAGCCGATCCGTCTTCTTGGCAGGCGGGAGCACAGGGGCGCGGGAGCACAGTCGGACCGGTTTTGGATCGGGTTGAACGGGGTTCCTGTTCAGACCACCATCGTGTGGGAAAGCGGACGTGTTTCGGCTGGGGGGCCGAGGTGCCGAAGAGGATGATATTGCGCCATTGGCGGGTGCCCTAGAGATAGTACATTGGGGGCTCGAAAGTGTAATGATATGTAATATGAGTCTTATAATAGACCGTCTAGTCACTTAAGAGAGAAATGTTTATAGACTTGCCTCATTTTCCGATACTCCCTGTGTCACAGTGACCTGAAGCTCCATACCTTTGACTCCTGCGCCAACTCCTTAGTGCTGTTGAACTGCTGCAAATTTCAACAGCATGACATGGCTCCGGTCGCATCCCTTAGGGTTCCGCTTGCATCCCGCGGTGGGACGGTCTACGGTGGCACGCTGGGCTTCGTCCACTGGGACACCCACGGGGGACACCGGGACACAAGCACAGCACATCCATCGGGACACCCACAGGGGCACCCCCGGTGTTCCCTTCGATCACATCGACCAGGGGAGCTGGTGCACCAGATGCCTGGCAGCCCAGGGGCGGGAATTGGTCCTGTAGAGATGCCACGTTCACAGAAGGGGTGCGTGGCTGCGTTCGTGGCATTCAGTGCCCCAGGCGTACTGTCTCAGACGGCTGGCAAAGCTGACCGGAGATGTGACAGTCCGAAGTGCAGTTTGCATGACTACGAAGGGAGAGCTTTGGACCTTAGAGCTGAGCATTGCAGGGCTGGTGTTTCTGAAAATGTTTGCTCACGGATATCTTCCATGGGGATAGAGCGTCCATTAGGGTGTATGGAGCGGCTATCGCTCGACATGTCAAAAGTAGCGGCTATCGCTCGACATGTCAAAAGTGATACATGCATGGTGAATAAGCTGATCATCATTGCTTCGACCTGGACCTTGCAAATTATCCATGACCCTAAGAACAGGTACGACTTTCCTCATTTTCAGTACGAAGTGACTGTGTCACAACGCCGGTGCACGCACCCACCCGACTGGCGCCCCGTGTTTCGCGAGGTGCGAAGTGCCTGACCAAGACGAGGCGCCAGAGTTTTCGTCGAAGAGAGAGGTCCGACGTCGGTGAGTCGGGGTGGAATTGCGTCAAAGCACTCCGGACCTTGCACACCTCCCCGGTTCCAGTCGTACCTGCATGAAATTATCCGGTAGATCTGAGGAGTTAGACTTGGAGCCCTAGGGACCGATGTTTACTAGCACCTTCCGAAATTAGGGTTTCCAATAAACTATATCCCTCCCTGGGGCTCCAACCACCTCGTGAGAAGGTGGTTGGGGTGGGTTTGGGGGTCTAACCACCTTCTGAGGATATACACGTACTGGATCTCCCTGTTTCGCACCTTGGATGGTTCAGGTTCATTGATCTCGTTTCGAGCATCCCAACTGATTGACAAACATATGCCATTCTATGCCAGTCCCGTTTGTCGTGTCTGGGGGAAGGGCAGGGGAGAACGACGGGTGTTTTTGAGGCGGGTGAGGATTGGATTTTTGGACCAGCGGGTGAATAGATGTGAGGGTCTGACTCAAATCTTTCACCAAAAACCAAGTGGATCACCTGCAAAAAGAGTGGATCACCTGCTAATTCAGGGGCTCCTGGCCTACCTTCGTTTCGAAGATGGTTGGGGTGGATGCCAGGGGGTCAACATGGCAAAACCTGTTGGTCTTGACGGTTTTTTCTGGTTCGGCAGCCGGAACAGACAACGAGCAGTTCTTGGAGAAGTGGCTTCAAGTCTCATGACCGGTGCAGCAAATCCCAAGACCTATACACCGAGGATGAACGATTCATTGCAGGTGGCTTGAAAGTCGTGTAAAAATGGACGCCACAAGTTGGGGAGCCCTTGAACAATATGCACGTATACGCCTGTGCTGGACGTTTTTTCGGCGGTGACAGCTGCAGGATCTATGAGGGCTCCAAGAAACCTTCTTAGAACCCATTGGTTCCTCATTCTCTTGAGACTTTGCAAGTGCACACGAGTCAATGATAGTGAACGATGCCCCAGCTGTGCGTGGGAGCCACGCTCATGGTCCCTAAAAACAGCGTCCTCAACCGGTAGGGAATGGTCAGGGGAAACTTGGGAGTTGAGCGAAATGTATTCACAAGGACGCTTACTAGGGGCTCCTGGCCTTACTACTATAGGAGTAAGGACGCTACTAGGGGCTCCTGGCATCGCTACTAGGAGCAGGACGCTCCTGGCCGTACTACTCCAGACTCGCCATGAAATCTCTCTTCTGTGTCGGCTCGTCACGTCCTCCCACGGGCCAGATGCGGGGACATTATTTCGAGAGTGGGAAGCCGGAACATGCGGTTCTCAGCCACCTGGCACGCGAGTATACGCGAGGAGGATGAAGGAACATGTTATCTTTTTTTTATGGCTGGTGATGAAGGAGGGGTCCCCGTGGTCTATAGAGAAACACCCATTTTTGGCCTGGCCCCGATGCACACTTTGTAGGCAATTTCAGAGGGTCCAGTTGTACCGAAGCGGAGAAGGTGGCAGTGGATTTCTATAGGGATTGTAGGCAATGCGGTGAAACCCACTGCAAAGACCCCCTGTGTACAATGCGTGAGTCCAGTTATTGTTGCAGGTGACGTTTGATTCCAAGCTGTGTCGTTGTGCCTCAAGCGGCCCTTATTGTGCCCGAGGTATCCCTAGGGCGCCCCAACCACTTACTGAGAAGGTGTTTGGGATCGGTTTTGGGTCTAACTACCTTCTGAGGTGGTATTTGGAGCCCTAGGGGTGTAGGATACAGTACGGATAAAAAGCCTAGAAGTCTTGCAGTGCTTACATCAAAACAGGTCCGTCAGAAGGTTCGTGAAGGGGATTTTCGTCAAAGCCAGCAATGACTCGCTTTGGGGATGTGACGCTGGAAAAAGATAATGATAACTTTCATTTCATATACTTTCATGAAGTTGTTTTTGATGCTATTTTCCTTTACTGTACACTCCCGGCGTTTAACATGGAACCAGGGCCAGGGGAGGCAATGGGGAACATGGAAGTGCGTCATGGTTGGCCACCCTAGGGAATGGTAGGGTAAAAAAACTGGATATATTAAATGTAAAAGTTTCAAGAAGTGCGACGCACTTCTGCGTAATTCAGTTTTTTCGTGGTCCTGGCTTCACCAGTGGATATCTTCCATGTTTATTAGACAGGGTTTTACTGGTAACATATTTTCTGGTAACATACAGAAGTGCTGTTTGTATACGTTAGCTAAAAATGTTGTTTGTATTACATACATTCAAATCCGCCCACACCGCTTGCGGTGCAGGGCGTGTTAGGGGCGGGTCAAGGTGGAATCATCAGTCAATCATCACATCGTAATCAGTTCATAGCTCTGCGAGGGGGGGGGGCCTTTCTTTGTTTCGGGGAAAAAAGTCTTACGCCTCGAGGGCCATGGGGGAGAGCGCTTTGGAGGTACATTTTTGGACTATTTCTGCAAGAACCCAAACAAGCCAAAAAACGGACACCCACGATGCTGAAAAGCCCTCCTGACCAGCAACGCATAACCAGCATTATAGGAGGTACATTATTGCAAAAAAAACAACGTACCCTCAACACAGGGTCACCAAACGATCAAGCTAGCCTTGACATGATGTAATGTGGACTAACCAAGCGGGGGCAAGGCCACAAAACGGTCGAACTTGGAGCCTGAATTGGCTTTAGCATGGCCACCAAACGAGCGAACTTGTGCGTAACTCAGCCGCAACATGGCCATAGCCGCTGCGGCAAACAAGCCATCTCTTTGGACACCACTCCCGACCTCCCCTGTCCACTCCAGCAGCCTTTCCCCAGACGACCGAAAAAAAAGGAAGGTGTGGGCGGCGGTCGACGCGAAGCGTCAGGAATATTCAATTATTCTATATTATATACATACTCTTCTGCTTGAATGCCGCTCGTCTTTGAGCCATTCTATTAAACATGGAAGCGCGTCATGGTCATCCTAATCTGGTCATGCTTCAGCATAGGTTTACTTCCAAGTTTATTACCGTCACACTTTTTAACAAACATAGAAGTAGAAAAAGTATCCACACAATTTCCGGGTTCTATGTTTAATGCCTCTAGAGTACTTCAATTTTGCCCCCAGAACATGGCGGCACTTATACAATCTTATACACTCAATATGATATTGTTTCCTTTGTGGGGCCTTGTTTCTTCTCAACTGGAGAGTCCCCAAAATAGCAAGTTGTTCGCTCACCCAGGGTGATTCGTTTCAGGAGCAGGCAAATGCACACGGTGACTGTGCTGGAGAGAGGGAGAGGGAGAGAGAGTGTTTTTCTTCATTAAAGTTTGTTTGGAGTTTCCTGGTTTCGTTTTTTTGGTGAGCAAAGTTCTCGGTTGACATCTAGCGACATGCAATGCACCATCTTCTACTCTCAACCCTATATAAGATTTGGAATTGATATGCCTTGACCCTCCAGTGGTACTCGAACGAAAACTAAACATGACCCGAACGAAAAGCGAAGGTACCGTTACACCCTCCAAACTATACCCAGAAAATGGAACATGGCCCTATCAAGGCAGAGTGCTGTTAAGCCTTGGACGCCAACCCAAAACAGGACCCGGGATCCCATGAGATCCACCCCCTCACCAGGGGTGGTGGAAATGAGCTCGGGAACGCTCGACTCTTCCGCTCTACCTGCTCTCTTCTCCAAGGCTTGGACACAGATCTGATGATTGGTGCCTTGGGCATTGGTCCGTTCCGAGACCATCCATGTTTGCTATATATTTATAATATATTTATCCCAGAGACTCCATGTATGCCATATATGCCGATCAGTTGGGGGGGTCAATGGGACCTATACAAGTTTAGCCGAGACCGACTACTTACCGGATGTTTTTTTCTTGCAGCTCAACCACTTCTTCCATCCGATTTGCTTACGCATCCGATTTGCCCTGCTTGTGGGAGACAAACAGAATGCGACTTTGCATTTCTTGAGGCAGTTGCGGAGAATTGGAAAGGTCCTTTTTCCAGCCGCTCGGATGTGAATGGACCATGATGGACCATATAAAAGGGATAGGCCTGTGGAGAGAGAGAGAGAGAGAGAGCAGGTTTGAGATCTAGAGAGTTTGTTGTTTCTTTTTCCGCTTCAGTGGTTTTAAGCATCACTGTTTGTTTGACACGCTGTGACACTAGTGCTGTCCAATTTGGGCCTCGACAGAGTTGTGCCCCCTACCTGGATATATTTGACCATCAGCCAGTTGGGAGGTGGTTTCTTTTCCATGTTGGAAACCCTTCTGCTCCGACACATCCTTACATCAAAGATAAATCATCATAACTATCATACCATTTCCACCCCCCAAGGTCCATCAACCTGACTCTGACCGGAACCCCATGAAGCTCCATTTCAGGTCGACTCCGCTCGTCGGACGTGCTCGGACCACTCACCCACATCGTTTCAGGTCGGATCTCTTTGGACGCAATTTGAAGGAGTTGGTCTCCATGGAGGCGACCGGCTTCTCCGCTCTGCGACCGCTTGTCGCAGAGAACCGGGTCACCGGTCGTTTGGGGTCACCGGGTCATCGGTAGCGAAAGAGTGGACCAGTGGGCGGTGCCGGTGAGGCTTGGCTCATTGGAGGATGCAGGTACAGGATGTAAATGTGGCTTGAGACTCTCAGCCCTTTCTTGGCCCAGCACTTGAGTCTCTCAGCCCATTCATGGTGGCAGTTGTTTTCCTGGAGCTCTGTGTGCTGTCACTGCTGGGTATGACAGTCACTGCTGGGTGTGTCGAAAAAACCCTTAGACTGCCGTGTTTGCTCCAAGTTCCAGTTGAACCCTGGGCCCTTGGTAACCAGTTGAACGGGTGCTACTAAACTTGTTGCTTGCGTCGGAACTGTGACTCAGCGTTTTCGGGAGTGAAAGAGAAACATCGATACCCAAACACTCCATGTATATATGCCGATCAGGCCAGGGGTGGTGGGTGCCAGGGGGGTCAATGGGGCGGCAGTCCTATATTGGCAGTCCCAAACGGGTCGTGTCTGGGATATGTTTCAGGCCGTTTGAAACGGTGAAACCGTTGGGAGATGAACATGCTTTGTAGTTCTGTGGCAGGTGAAGCCACCCGTTCCGTCCACGGTCTCTACTAGATTGCGGCTGGCGTACGCCTTGAGTCGTCTGTGGCGCTGCCGTTTCAACGAAGCCTGGTCGGAATCAAAGGACATGCCCTGTTCGTAGCGCTGCCCTTTGCCCCGTTCGTAGCGATGCCCTTTGCTCCGTTCGTAGCGTCCTTTGCCACAGACCGATCACCATAACACCATCTTCGCAGCGCCAGGACCAGCACATGATTGGCTTACTGGCGCGGAGCGAAAACCCTCAGAGGACGATCCTGGTGAAGCTCATGGAGCTAGGCAGGGCGAGCCTCCGGTTTCCTGCCGGCGGGAGCCCGTTTGGGGGTCAAGGGGTGGTCGTTGGTCCAAAAGGTGTTGGACATACTTTTTTGGTCCATTGGGTAATGGCCTTTTTTTAGGGGTAGAGGGTGCTGGTATGATGGGCCAACATGTTTAACGTTTGAGATTTGACCCTGGAATTGTGTAATGGAAGTTGGAGTGAAGTGGAATTAATGGAAGTTGGAGTGAAGGGTGTTATGCTGTTCTTAGGGCGGTGCTTCATGCTTTGGGAACCACAACCTGCCATGCAGAGTTCGGGCATGTGATGCTTTGATGGATGGTCCATTTTGGCGCCAAATGACTGTCCGGCAGAGCGTTTTCGCCAAGTGCAGAACCCCAAAATAGTAACTCTAGCTTACCATTGCCCATGTATGGTCCCTACTAGTACATTCTATACATGGATGATCTGGGGTAGATCGAGGATTCTTACCATGTAATTCCAGATTCAGCGATGTGTATGGCCAGATCCGAATCGAACCTCCGCAGCCCTTGCTGGAATCGTGCCAGTGCTGTATGTTGACCTCTCCGAAGGGGGTGAGTGGTTTGGTCCATCCCTGCTTATGGTCAGCAGGTTCTGGAAGAACAGCGTCACAACATGTGCATCCAGAAGTTCATGCATCGATATACAGCGTCAGACCCATGGTTGGCAACGTTTTTTGGGCCAAGGCTTCTAGGTGCACCTCAAAACACGTCCAAACACAGGTGCTTCCCAGCCGAGCTTCCGAATTTGCTGGGTGCCTTTTTCAAGCCGGTCCAGCTCGGAACATCCAGCCATGCGGCATCCAGCCCCCACCGGCCCCTTGGTGTGTGTGTGTGTGTAAATGACCGAAGTTTTCCCCATGTTCACCCCCTGGAAGGGTTCGAAAGACCGGGGCGATCCGGGGTCTCCCTATATGTACCTGGAAACATCTGGAAACTTCCGGCCATCATTTTTGGGGAGTGAAGACGTGCGGGCGAAAAACCTACGTGAGTAGACCTACGATGGCCTACGTGAGTAGAGCTACGCAGCACGCTCCAACAAGTGACCAATGGTTCGACCTGTTAGGCCCTTCCCAACCCTCGAACGAGGAGGCCTCTAGAGTCGGGTGCCGGTAAAGGTATTTAAAGATCACACCCAATTCTCCCTCCTGAAGGTGGATCTGAATCGGTGAAGCTTCGGCTGCTGCCTACTGGGCTTCAAAGCCCCAAGTGGTTGGCCTTCTTCGCCCGAGGCGGGCAGAAAGTACCTCTAAGAAAGTGGGTCATGGGTCCTTACTTGGTGGTTTGGCTTGTGGCTTTCTAAATGCTATAAGAAATCAACAAGTTCCATAAACAGGAGCCAATCACCAAGTAAGGTGCCAGCTGTTTCTTTACCTCGGTGAGGTGCCAGCTGCACGAACCAGTCATGAACCGTCATGACCCTTTGCTGGAGAGCTGGATGTGCAACTAACGTGTGTTTACGAGGGGTTCAAATCACACAGCACCCGCTTGATGTGAAGCCATGTGTTGGTATGGAATTTCAGTAGTTGGCATGGATGACCTCTGCCACCCTTGGTTGGTTGGTGAATAGATGGGACACGGAACCCCCCCCTGAACAATGGTATTTGGATGTATTTGGTATCAAATCAACTCCTATAATTCTTTTCAATAGGACATGGGCAGCACGTTTCTTTCCCTAGTTGGAAGCTGAAACCCTGCGCGACGAGGAAGTGGCATCGCACCTTCCTTTCACCATGTTCATCAGTTCTAAAGATGGTTTCACCACCGCACACCTTCTTGGCGGATCTCTTTCACCGTGTCAAGCGGCTTGTCTTAAGGCCATGGACCCCCCGGCTGGACTTGGCGCGAGGATTTTGCACACCAGACGACCTTCCACTCGCATGAAACCCACCGGCGTCCGAGAACCGTGGAAGTCTCCAGCGATGCGAACAGAAAACACACAGAGCAAAACACCACGTGGCGTGGCAGATGCGATGCGTTTGCGGATGATCCTGTGTGACTTTATGACTCAAACCAACATGTCGCATGGCTCAATGTTTGTGAACTTCCATCAGCATGTGCAATATCTCAGGTGAGAAAGGACAGCAACCCAGCCACCACCAGAACCACTCTGGACAAACAGAAACACCGAATGTTCACAAATTTTCTGGCTTGGACGCTGCCGACACAGCTACAGTAATTTGTTGTTGTTGCTTGGGGAGACCGAGTGGCTGGCAATGAACTTGTTCTTGCCAAGCAGAACCCCCCGAAGCTTCCGTGATCACTGGCTGGCCAGTTGGTACCCCAGAATCACACCGGCAACTATGGTCCCCGTCACCAGCTCGCCTCCCGGTCACTCGTTCCGCGTTCTCCGTCCAACACGTCCAACTCGTCACCGCACAGGTGATGCCAAGACCTATGTGGCGCCCAGCAGCGCGCGCGACATTAGTTCGTCGATCTCCAACTCTCGTGTCTCGGTGCCAAGACGTGGAGGACGTCCACCCTTCGTCGGTGTTTTTGGACCTGAGACCGGGCTCCAAAGCTGAGAAGACAGGAGCTCCGTTCGTAGCGTCCTTGTTCCTAGTAGCGATGCCAGGAGCTCCTAGGAGCGTCCTACGGGGAGGGCTAGGCCTGCGGGATTCAGAGACCATTTCTTCGCCCGTTTCCTTTTTCCAATCCATTACCATACTGGCTTCGTGCCTGGCAGGCCAACGACAACAGCCGCTCTGTGATGCCCACCAAACAGATGCTGTCAACTCAGGATCTGGGTGCCCAAAATCTGCATCTCTTTCCTGACTTTGCTAGCCGGTCTGTGACAGTTTGCACGGCTAAGCCCTTGATGATATCACTCCGGATCTGCGTTTGGCCGCCGTGCTCCGCTGGTGACACCCCCCTTCTCGGACCCCACCGAGGATCCACCGAGACGCCGCCACTCCGCCGTCCCAGGTGCCTCCGCCAATTCGATCCGGCCGGCCAGTCCCCGGGCCATGCTGCCCTCCGTGCCGGACGACGCAGGCGTGCGCGTCCTCGGCGCATCCGGCGGTTCGCTTCCACGAAAGAATAGAGCCTGGAGGAAAAGACCCGGAATTCGTGCGGGTACAAGATGGGACAGGGTGGTACCTGTTGTTGTTGTTGTTGGTGGTGGTGGTGGTGGTGGTGGTGGTGGTGTTGGTGTTGTTGTTGTTGTTGGTGGTGGTGGTGGTGGTGGCGGTGGCGGTGTTGGTGTTGGTGGTGTTGTTGTTGTTGTTGTTGTTGGTGGTGG